GTTGCTCAATCTCTTTTTACCAGGGAAATTAAAGTAATCTCACTAATTGAGTTTAAAGTGACCTAGAATGACCACAGCCTTATATAAATTATCTATTTTTAAAGTGCTTGAATTAGATCGACCACTTGCAGATGCTACAAAAAGTTGATATTTGGTAAGGAGACAGCTCTGGAGTCGCAAGCATCTGGAAAAATATCAGATTCTCAAAATTGTAATACTAAGTGGTTAATAATTTAAGACTTTTACTCCTCAATTTACTTTTAAAGGAACATAATAGCGTCAGGAATTTAAACTTTTAATTTTCCCTTCTCTTTGAATGCACACCAAATTAAACGAAGAAACCATTTGGATTAAAGAAACATTCCTTTAAAATAAATACTTAACGGTTCTCAAATAGGTGTGAAAATTAATAAAAAAATGGACTATGTCTATAGCTCAATTTTACTAACGTAAAGGGATACAACTGCGTCTTGAATTTCATCTTTTAATTTTCTCATTTCTTTGGTCCCACACTAAAGTCAACAATAATAACAATAACATGCTGGTCAAAAGAAAACTTTAAAATTTATTCTTCGCAAAGGGGTCGGCGTGGTCGAGTCGGTAAAGCTCATGGTTGCTAAACCGAAAAGTCTCGAGTTCGAACCCTCGGGCAGATGAGGCTCGTTAGCTGGGGAAAGCCACTCTTCTAGGAGAGACAACTCCAAAATTAAACAACTGCTGCCTTGTAGTTTGTTCTTGGTTGGACAAAGGCTATGGAAGCAAATCCAAAAAGAAAAGCAGGCTGAAATCGGAGTCAATGGCCTCAATGGCGCATAACCAGTTGACACGTAACGCTTAATTGTGTTAGAGGCGTGGTCGAGTCGGCAAAAAGCTCATGGTTGATAAATTCGAACAAAGTCTCGAGTTCCAACCCACTGGCAGATAAATCTCGATCCCATTCAACACTAATAATTAAGAACGAAGAAGAAGAAGAAGAAAAGATTCTTCGCAATTTTCAAATAGGTGTGAAAATTAAACTTAAACCCTATCTAATAACTAATATTTCAGATAAATATACACATTTATATATATATATATATATATATATATATATATATATATATATATATATATATTCTCACAAGTAGATACATTTATAGGATGTGGATGCAAATGCATCACTACGTTCACATACATACGCTGTCAAAATAATTACATACGAGTATGTATAATCCAATCACACGCACATACTGACACGCAAAAGCACATGCACATTTAAACAAATTCACAAATGCATCTGCTCATGCACACACAAAAGTTGAAGCATGTGCCTGTACATGCTCACACAATATCAACACATTTTTTTACACTATACATTTGAATTTTATATTTTACTAGCCGTCCCGGCCAGGCCCTGCTCTGGCTTCTGTGAAAAATCCTTCTGTTAAAGACCATCACCTGTGTGTTTAGTAATCATCATAAACCCGGCATTGCCCACCCAAACCACAACCAACCAAAACCAAAACAACAAAACGCAAACATAACGCTAACACAATTACAAATACAAACGAAAACAAAAACTTACAACAAACCAACCACAACCACAAACACCAATACGAACACAAAGAAAAAAGCAAACGAAAACAAACCAAATCCAAACACAAAACCAACCACAAACACAAACCCAAAGAAAAAAACAAACGAAAAAGCAAACGAAAACAAACCAAATACAAACGCAAAACCAACCACAAACCCAAAGAAAAAAAACACAAAAGAAAAAACAAACGAAAACAAACCAAATCCAAACGCAAAACCAACCTCAAACACAAATACAAACACAAACCCAATGAAAATAAAACACAAACGAAAACGAAAAAAGAAAGAACAAAAACGAACCAAATCAAAACGCAACCACTAACGCAAACCCAACCTAAACACAAAGAAAACACTAACGCGAATATAAACGCAAAGTGCTCACGGGGCTGAATCGCCTACTTCAACTTAATAAACGACTATAGTACCCCAACTTATTCATAGTCTTTTGCACTCACTTTAATGAACGTAGGCGCGAAACCGAACACGGGAGGCCCGGGACCCCAAAAAGCACCCTGTCTGGGCGCCAGAGGACGCACCATGACGTCACCGCCTGATTGAACTTAGTAAACGCCTATAGTGCATAACTTATTTATAGTCTTTTGAACTCACGCGAACGTAGATACCATAGCGTACACCGGAAGGCCCGGGGCGCCAAATAGCACCCTGTCGGTGTGCCGGATGACGCCCGGATTTGATTCACTTAAAGACTGTAGTAACCTATCTAATCTATAGTCTATCGCACTGTTTAAAACAAAATTATGCAGCATAGCGCTCACATGATAGCCCAGGGTGCCAAATCAAACCGTGCAGGGGCGCCGGCGGACGCGCCTGTTTCAATTTAGTGAACAAAAATGATAATACTCCAAGCTTATCCGTAAATGGAAAGAAATAAACGTATATGATTTGTAGGACCTGGCTTATTAAATGTTATTGATTTTAAAAAAAAATAATTATTATTGAACAGTATGTTCAGTGTATAGAATAAATAAAAGGCAGTGTTAAAAATACCTAACGACATTGCACTTAATCAATCCCCGCTAATTGTGTAATTTTTTTTTTCTTAACACCAAAAACAAAGTAATAAAATGTTAATTCTCTCTTCTTAAGGATTTATTTTTCATTAAAGGGAAGTAACTTTGCAGTCAATACATTTCCGACACAATTTTAGAAATTTTATAAACGTCGATACACTTTTTAAAAATTTTATGTCGCGTTCATAATTGAAAATTATTCTTCTAAGTAAATAGAATGAAAATTGTTTTTAAAGACTTTCAATGGTAATTTTTTGACTCGTAAATTTAGACTTTGAGCACGATAAAAAATCTAACACTTAAATCCGTAGAAGTGTCAACGACAAACTTTTTTTTTGCCACACGTTACAGAACTGAGCTTTATATATTAGATTTTAGAGACACAAAGAACAGGCTGAGAGCATTTTTGGTCTTTACCATGGCTTGGTACGTAAATATTCCTTGAGTTGCTATAAACATAAAATTACTCTAAGCATAATTTAAATTAATTAGGCAAAATAAAATAAATATTAAAAAATCTTTTTAAAAACAAGCGTTTAACTGCATTGAAATTAAGAAAATAAAAGAAATTTTTACCAAGAAAAGCTTTGGTCTCTCATTACATCACTTACATTTTGTAGTTTGTTCTTGGTTGGACAGTGTATTTTAGAAATATATAGATCTAGGCTAAACCAAAAACACGCGAGTTTAATGTCGAAGGGCTGCCACAATCCTTTATACACGGGAGATTTTCCTCACTTACATAACAGTCGAAGAAAACTTTTTGCCTTGTTTTCTTATGTTTAGGGATATCCAATTTAGATATCACTAAAATATTCACTCCAAGGGCAGAGGTTATTTACACACCTTAAATAATCTCCTAAATGTAATAATTTGAGATAATGTTAATGAATTTCTTAGCTGAAATGACAGGATTTGTGAAAACAAGTACTCTTATTGAAGGAAAACTGGAAAAACCGATTTTAATAATTTCCTTTTATATTTAAGCAATATTTGAAAGATTTATAAATTTTAAGGTAATCTATCTATTTAGGTTAACTACCTCATTGTCAATGCTTTAATAGTAATAGAAGTAGATCTATATTGTGAAATATTTGTGTCAAATATTATTAGGCTATAGATAACTGAAAAATAAACCAAAATCAATGGCTAAATAATAAATATATCAATAGGCCCTATTATACGGCCCATAGGCCAGAAATTAACTTTAAACATCAGTGTTTGCGATTTGCGTGCAAGATTTGATATATAAACAACAGTCATTTGTAAAATAGAGTGGCTTCCCCAAAGTAAAACATAAACAAGATGGCTATTAGCCAGTATTAGGCTATTAAAGATTCTAGTAAATGTCAGTAAATGAGCATGGTTGCATCTGATGAAACATCGCTAGTCTTCATTTGTCATTTATTACTGAAAAGTTTTAATTCAATTGTTTAAAAACAGGTACATAAACAAAACAAGGACACATTTTTGTATTTTTCAAAACATAAATCCTTATCGAAATGTGAAATAATCATTAAAATTTAAGGAGTCATCTGTTTTACGATTTTACGTACCTCAAACGATAGATTATCAATTTTAAAAAAATGTTTTCATAAGTAGGCGAAAGTAAACGAATACATTTTTATTGTTTCGAATAATCTAAATACGCAATTTTAATATTAGCGCCAAAACATATTGGAAATTCCCAATGCCGAATCGTAATGGAGGCGAGCGAGTTGACGAGATTCCGTCCCCAATGTTGTTGACATGGAATAAAAACGTGCTTTTTAGATTTAGACGGTAAAAAAAAATAAAAAATAAAAACTTAAGCCTAAAATTAATTTAGAAATTTTATATTTTTAGAATAAATGTTATAAAAGTTGCAAATCCAGAGAACTTGAAAATAATTTGTTGAGTTTAAGGCTACATTTCTATTTATTTTCATCAAGCCTAAGTTATAACCGGATGTTTCACTTTCGTAAGACAAATATTGATTGGCTGTACAGTAACTTAGTGATCGATAACTATTTGTTTACAAAACTTTGCAGATCAAGTTTTTAAATTACAATGCAAATTTAAAACCCCATGACCTAGTTTTCTATTTTTAGCTTACAATGTGTACAATAAAATCAATGGCGGCCTATCCAATAGCAGGATGCCATTGTTTATGTCGCCATTACACGTGAAAACCAAATTGTTTTTGCTTTTTTTTTAATTTTTATTTAGTTACCGAAAATATTATAAACATCAAATACATCCAATCTTTAGTAAAGTCCGAAAAAACCCAGATATACAGGATTTTATAACCATACTAATTGTAACTACGCTGTGCATGATTTTTAAATGAATTTATACACCTCTCAAATACCTTTGAGACTTTTCTCGCTGGTGTCCATTTCCATTCTTTCTAGATTCTAGATCTAGAAATTATGATTAGACCTGTTGTCTAACCATACTGAATTCATTAAAGATCTAAATATTCTGAAACAAGACAGGTTTAATGTATAATCTTTTTAAACATGCTATATTACAATATATCATTTTGTATTTTTAATTATATTAATTTCGAATCATTCTAAGAACTGTATTATTAGTATTATATTATGTCACGACATCGGTTTAAGTCCGAGATCGTCTTCAATGGACACCAGCGAGAAAAGTCTCAAAGGTATTTGAGAGGTCCATAAATTAATTTTAAAATCTTGCACTGCGTAGTTACCATCAATATGGTTATAAAATCCTGTCTGTCTGGTTTTTTTCGGACTTTACTAAAGATTGGATGTTTTTAATATTTTCGGTAATTAAATACAAATTAAAAAAAAAAAGCAAAAACAATTTGGTTTTCATGTGTAATGGCGACATAAACAATGGCCGCCATAAATTTTATTGTAAACACTGTAAGCTAAAAATAGAAAAAATAGGTCATGGTGGCAAAATTTTGTAAACAAAATAACTATAAAGTGGGACTGTCAGAAATCGATCACGGAGTTCCTTTACAGCCAATCAATGTTTGTCTTACGAAAGTGAAGCATCGGGTTATAACTTAGGCTTCATGAAAATAAATAGAAATGTAGCCTTAAACTCAACAAATTATTTTCTAGTTCTCTGGATCTGCAACTTGTATAGAATTGATTCTAAAAATATTAAATTTCTGAATTAATTTTAGGCTTAAGTTTTTAATAAAATTTTATCTTTTATTATTTGTATGGTCCTAAATCTAAAAAAGCACATTTTTATTCCATGTCAACAACATTACGGAAGGAATCTCGTCAACTCGCTGGTGTCCATTATGGCTTAACGTTTCTTCTTTTCAAACTTAAAAAACATACTTTTTATTTTATATTCTATGAGTTAATGAAAATAATACATCAGATCAATGTATTAATATATTTGTGCGTATGCTTTAAAGTAGTTTTTAAGTAAGTGAAGTGCTTGAACATTTTCATTTACAATATTTATCATTATAATTATAAGATATTTTGCCAAAGAAATAAATAATAAGTATAAATTTTGTTTCTAATATTTGGTCATCAGAGAATTAGTGTCATCACAACTGTTTTTTCTAGTTATCTAATATCATACTAATATGCGAATGAGCTTTAATTCAGTAATCAAATTCAATTTTTGAAATGCCGATTACATTCTTTTGTCAACAGAAAATAAAATAACCGTTATTTAAAACAATGGTGAAGTCAAGCCTTGCCCGTGGACTCCAGTCATGCTTGGGCCAAAGCTGGAAGGAGGATCCTTTTAAAGACTTTGTTGTGATAGTTGAAGACACCGACTTTCACTGTCACAGGTTTATATTAAGTGCCTGCTCCAGTTTTTTTAAATGTATGTTCCAATCTGACTTGAGAGAGAAACAAGATGGCTGTACGACCCTACGTGAGATGAGCAGTGAAACTTTTGATGTTATAATCAACGCGATTTACAGTGGAGTTGATGGCTTGACTAAAGATAATGTGATAGACGTCTGGCACGCTACTCACATGTTGGATATACCTTTCCTTGTGCAAGAGTGTGAAGAATTTGCGTGCAAAAATATGTGCCTCGATAACTATATTGTTTTATATGAAACAGCGAAACTTTTAGAATCAAAATACGTTATAAATTTTGCATTAAAGTTTATGAAAGCCAATTATGAGCATTTTGTAGAAACTGAAACATTTCTGAATGTTTCTTTTAACATAATTCTTTCTTCAATTATAGATGATTATCTGGAAGTAACTTCCGAAAATATTGTTTTAGAATCTATATTAACATGGATTAATTATGAGAAACAAAGCTTTCAAAACCTAAAAGAAATTAAGACAGTGGTAACTGATAAAGATAAAGAAGAAAGTCAGACAAGTGAAATCTCTTTTGACGAATCTTGTAAATCAGAACAGGCAACTACAGGCTTTGATGCCCAATTTGGTTCTCCAAATGTAAATAATAGTTCTAACATGAAACGTGTGAAAGTATCAACAAAACAGATTTCCAGGCATGCTAAGAGAGATCGATTTCTAAGAGAAGAAACAACAGAGGAAGAAAAGAAAGATCAGCTTGTGAAGCTTTTGTCAGCTGCTAGGACTACATTGGCGACACGAGATTACTTAGACAAATTGATGGAACATCCGTTAATTTTATCAAGTCCTGAAGCATTCAAGATTATTCATGACTCGCTGATGAGCATTTGGAACTCTTCATCCACTAACGCAATCAAAGACTACAGACTCAGTAGTTCTTCTAGAAGTGTCATGGCATTTGTATCTAAAAACGAAGTAAAATTGTTTTCATTTAATGATGAAAATATATACTCTCTTGGTAATATTAGTGACCATGTGATAGACACTTCGTGTGGAATTGCATCACTTAATTCAGCATTTTTCTATTTTTACAACGAACCAAATGAGATTATGTCATCTAATAAGCGTAGCTGGTCCACTATCTCACGCCCACGCCACATATTGACAAAACTGAATGACAGTCCCACAGCACCAACAACAATAGTTTGTCAGAAAGATAAAGACTCAAACAATAATACGTTGGTACCTTTTCACAACAGTATCTTTTTGTTGTTATGTTCAGAATGTAATATTTCAAGTATAGACTCATCAAGTCAATTAGTTACTTTAAAACTAACTAAAGTTCCAAAAAGAGCGATTGTGTATGAAGACAATATAATAATAATATATAATTCCGTAGAAGTTGATTGTTACAACGTCACTACTAAACATTTTGAGCAGTACACTTTTGACGAAATTAGTATCGACTTCGTTTCATTCTTCAAAGGCAAGGATCTTTTTATTCTTCAGGGTAATGGTGTCTTAAGAAAAGTTGACAAAAACATTAGGTCAAAGATAGAGCTTAAAGTACTCACAAAACTTTGGGATGGAGATATTTCACTTACTGGAGCTGCTTACTTTAGAAACAATCTCATTCTTTTTTCTAAACAAAAATACAAGACAGAAATCTCCCCGTTGCCTGGGTTGTTTGAAAATATCCGGTTAATAACAATAGTAAGTGAGACAAACTTGACCCCTATGGTGGTACCAGACTCTTGGTTAGAAACGAATGTAGAATGAAACAGAAGTTACAAGTAAAAGAGAAGTTTATACAATTGTCTTAAGAGTGAAGTTTCTAAAATAACGATAATTTGAGTATCGGTTCAGTTAACGGACGATATTTTAAACATATGTAAACGGTCTTGTTTTCTTGATTCTCTAAAATTTTACGTTTTCCGAATTCTGAAAAAAAAACAATCGCTCCTACTGGACCGATTTCTTCAAAACGTTTAATAAGCTTTTATTTAACTTGCTTCTTCTGTCTGTCTAGACTGAAACGGGAGAGCGAAATTTAGGGCAATTTCTCTGAAATTCGGCATGTGGGCCTAGACCCAATGACAATGCAATATGACATTTAAGTTTGACTTATTAGGATGACTAATTATTTTTCATAAATTAATTAAATAATTCTGAAATTAGTAGGCAGACTTGTCCTTGTGGGACAGCCACTGTTGATTTCATTACAATTTTTTTTCTTTAGTTAGCTAGAAGCTAGACATAGACGATATCAACCGACAGATTCTGGTGAGCTGCAGTTCGGGCCGAATGTTTACAATCGTAGAACTGATCGAATATTAGGGGCAGATGATAAAGTTTTTAAACGATTTAAAAATTAGGGGAGGTAAGAAAATTAAAAAATTGCTATCGTCTGTAAACATGGTACCGGACGTCTGCTTTCAAGGGGTAGATAATCGTCTTTAAGATATCGCGAGCTACTGATGGTATTATAAAGAAAATATTTTTAGTCGTGTCGACTTCATAAATTAGGAATCACTAAAAAGTAGTAAATAAAACATATATATGTATATATAAATATATATATATATATATATATATATATATATATATATATATATATATATATATATATATATATATATAGCACATTTATAGTAACAAGCTTTTAAATGCACTGAAAATAAGAACATAAAGTAATTTTACTTTCTTTAATAAAAGCTTTGGTCGCTCGTCAGATCTCTTTCATAGTTTAATGATAAAGCGTTTATGAAAGAAAGCAAATTTATTTTATTTTCGTATTTTCAGTGCATTTAAAAGCTTGTTATCATAAAGTGTTTTTTTTTTATATTTGTTTTTTTATATGTAGGCCCATCTAGTCTCAATGACAATGCATTGGGACATGACATGTGGCTAAATTTGATGTTAAGTGAATTTTTCCAGAAGTGTTTATATAGTCATAATTTTGCATAAAATTCATTAGCACAATGTTGACTATGTCATCTGTTGTTATTAATTTGATAAGATTTCATTTTGTGCCTTCTGTTCAATTCATTCTTTATATTTTATAACATTTCTTAATTAAAAATAATTTTAAAATATTAAACAAATGTAGAGTTTTTTTTTTTTTTTGCTGTAAAGTATTTTTGAAAAAAAAATGTTAGACTAGAATTTAATTTTAAAAAATTTACATTTATAGTTCAAAATAAATAATAATTACTAGTTGTAAAATTGTATTTAATGTGTTTGTGTGTGTTTGTGTGTGTGTGTGTGACTTCAAATGAATAAAATGATACCTAGGCACTCACTACGGGAAAACTACTACACTCGCAAAATAAATTCTAGCTTTTGATTAAAAAAAGTATAATAAAACACATCAGTATACACATCACTATATTTTTAAAAAGTAGAATATAGTAGGATTTTAATTCTTATAAATAAATTATTATAATCGCAATTAAAACACAACAATTAAGCCTTTAGTTACAATTTAAATTAAATTTCTATGATTATATTGTTATGGTTTAATTTTTTATATAATAGTTTAATTTAAGAGCATTATTCTTGTTGTAGGTTTCCTATGTATTTTAATAATAAAAATTATCAACTCTAAAGCGATGCTTATGTTTCCATTTAAAGCAATATTTTAGAACTAAAACTTAATGGGTTTAGAACTTTTTTGTTCTAAAATTAGAAAAAGCAACAATTAACATCGATGTAACATTGTAATCTATTAGTCACAGTACAAGGCACATTAAGGCATATAATGTTACATTTTAATTTTTCCTCTAAATTCATGTGGACTTCAACGGAAAAATGACTACGTATAAAAAGTTTTAAATTATCTATTAAAAAGGTTCATTATTGAAAAGTTGATTAAATAATTTAATGTATGTGAGTTACTAACAGTATGTATTGTGACACATTTTACAATTTGAGAATTACAGCTGTCAGCTTACACATAACATCTGTCAAAGTTTTCATTAAATCAAATATATCATCGTATAGGCCTACTCTCTCTGTATTCATTTCACTTAAAGCGTAGCCTACTATTCTAACACATCCTGAAGACAAACTATTTGGGTTATTTGAGATTTCACCTTTTTAGAAACCATTCAATAGGTTTTGATAGAGCACGTTTAAAATAATTTTCTCCTTATCTATACAGAACTTACTTGTTCATTTTATGAGCTATAGAAAAAAACAATGGGGGTTAAAAACATTTGCCCAAGAAAGGAATAGCTTACAACTATTTTTATCGAATATTCCCAGACTTAAGCAAGGTAAGTTATGTAGGTTAATAATGACTACATTTCTTTAAGTTTATTTTTATCTCGAAAGATTAACGACTGTATTTTTGTATACAGGTATTCTGTAGGCCTACTGTTTTATTTTATTATTATTTTTTATAGATATAATAAATTTTAGAAATATTAGGTATTGCACAGGTCTAATGTTTTGTAAAAGTTATATCACTTTTATGCCTATAAGAGTAATCCGAATGTATAACATTAAATGTGTACTGTTAAGTAAATGTAAATGCATTTCAAATTGTGATGTGTTTGTTAATAAGTTTTTTTTTAAGTTAAGTAACTTCTTTTATTAGATTTTTGTAATCGGTTTCTTCAGGTTTTGTAAATGTCTATGTCCTCAAGTCAAGTAGATGCGCGGATAGAACACCACCACCTCGTCCCCTTTACAATACAATACTTTATTTTATATGAACGTTTTTTTCTATTTGTTGTGTACCTTTTGAGAGGGTGAACGAGAGTTATGAATGTATTTTTATAATCCTAAGATAATCACTGATGAAATTTTCTACATTATGTAATTTGTTTCGAATATTAAAAACACAACATTTTGCATTACTGTCAGAACATACTGGGTATTCCCGTTGCTACTGACTACGAAGGTTATAAACAAACAAGTCTTTACCACAAACAACGAATTCAATGTTATATTTTAATCGAATTAGTGCATTTAGATATACATAATCAAATAGTATTTCGCATCTCTAGTTCTTGTTATTGTTTTAAATGTATAATTTAATAGTCACATGTATGTAACCATTGCGAATAGTCCATCCTCACTCTATACAAGATATACCTTATGACAGGTAAGTGAATACAGTTAAGGTTGGATTCTATCAATATATATATATATATATATATATATATATATATATATATATATATATATATATATATATATATATATATATATATATATATATATATATATATATATCTATATATTTATATATATATATATATATATATATATATATATATATTATATATATATATATATATATATATATATATATATATATATATATATATATATATATATATATATATATATATATTTATTTATTTATATAATTTTATATATATATATATATATATATATATATATATATATATATATATATATATATATATATATATATATATATATATATATATATATATATATATAAGTGTGTTTTTGCTGTATTTTATACTTTTATATAATTTTATTTAATTTATTCTTAAAGTATAAATAATCCTGTGAATGACGTCACTTTTTATATTTAACGGCTTTGGACTTGTGTGATGTCACGTGGAGCTATAGAACAGGATTTAGCTAAGTGGTGTCGCATTTACGCATTAAAAAAAAGTGGGGTCATCCATAAATGACGTCACGCTTTTATGACGATTTTTACCTCCCCCCTCCCCTCCGTAACACGTCGTCACAAAAAAGCCAGACACCCCCCCCCCCTAAAGATGTCACACCTTAGCCTACAACCCCCCTCAACATTGCAGTTGATTTTTTTTAAACATCGATAATTTTCCAAAATCTTGTCTGAAATATGTCAAAATAGAGTATTTTAATCAATTCCTATTATAATTTATTGAAACTGTTTTCTAAAACGCTGAATAATGTCTAAAATTCGTTTTCTAACATTTCTTATCTATAAAGTAAAAGTGTGACGTCGCACCATCTGAACCCCCACTCCCCCTAATCACACATCGTCACAAAATTACCGACCCCCCTCCCCTTACGAGTGTGACGTCATTTATGAACGACCCCTTTAGCTTTTTTCTCATGTTTACACATAAAAACAAGAATACCTTAACGTGAACAGTATATAAAATGTCTAGTTATTACTTTTTAAAGACATGGCTGTTAAAAACTATTATTGCTATTGGTATGATGTCCGATGAGGGGTAGGCTAAAATGTCATGCGGAAATCGTTTCAAAAATAATTTCATTTATGGACGAAACATAATAAATTTTTCACATCAGGAATATAATTCTTTTTTTTTTTTTTTGAGACTTATTGCTTGAAATGAGAAAATAAAAAAAATAAAAAATTGGGATATTTTGCTCCCTGATAAGCTTTGTTTTTGTTTCATCTTTTATTTTCATGTATCTAATTTTTATAAAATTAATATTTCAACGAAACATAATCTAATATGTTAAGTAATAAACATAAGAATCAAATATATTTTAATATTGTAATACTTAATTTATTTTTTTTTAAAACGCAGGTAGATTTTATTTTATTGGCAACAGAACACAAATAAGTAAAAGCAACTCTATAAAATGGTGAAGTCTAGCCTAGCATGTGGACTCCTGTCATGCTTGGGCCAAAGCTGGAAGGAGGATCCTTTTAAAGATTTTGTTGTGATAGTTGAAGACACAGACTTTCACTGTCACAGGTTTATATTAAGTGCCTGCTCCAGTTTTTTTAAATGTATGTTCCAAAGTGATCTGAGAGAGAAACAAGATGGCTGTACGACCCTACAGGACATGAGCAGTGAAACTTTTGATGTTATAATCAACGCGATTTACAGTGGAGTTGATGGCTTGACTGAAGATAATGTGATTGATGTCTGGCATGCTACTCACATGTTGGATATACCTTTCCTTGTGCAGGAGTGTGAAGAATTTGCATGCCAGATCATGTCACTTAATAACTATATTGCTTTGTTCGAAACGGCAAAACTTTTAGATTCAAAATCTGTTACAAATTTTGCAATTAATTTCATTAAAGCCAATTATGAGCATTTTGTAGAAACTGAAACGTTTCTAAATGTTTCTTTTAACCTAATCCTCTCTTTGATTAAAAATGATAACCTAAAAGTAACATCCGAAAACTGTGTGTTGGAATCGATTCTAACGTGGATTAATTTTGACAAAAAAAACATTCAAAAACTGAATCAAATAAAGAATGAGCTCAAAGATGATCACAGTGAGGAAAGTTCGAGAGGGGGAATAACTTCGGATGACTTTTCTACTCTAGAGCAGCAAATTAGATATGTGGATGCGAAATGTGCAACTCCAAATGTAAATATCAATAGTGGGTGTTTAAAACATGTTAAAGAATCAAAACTACCTTTGGGAAATAGGAAAAGAGATCGATTTCTAAGAAAAGAAACAAAAGAGGAAGAAAAGAAACACCAGCTTGTGAAGCTTTTGTCAGCTGCTAGGACTACATTGGCGACACGAGATTACTTAGACAAATTGATGGAACATCCGTTGATTCTATCATGTCCTGAAGCATTCAAGATTATTCATGACTCGCTGATGTGCATTTGGAACTCTTCAGCTACTAACACACTCAGTGACTACAGACTCAGTAGTTCTTTTAGAAGTGTCATGGCATTTGTATCTAACAACCAAGTGAAACTGTTTTCATTTAATGATGAAAATATATACTCTCTTGATAATATTAATAACCATCCAATAGATACTTCGTGTGAAATTTCAAGTATAAATTCAGCTATTTTCTACTTTTACTTAGAGAAAAAAGAATGTTCAGGTTTTGGTCATTCCTGGTCTTTACAACCCCAGGGGCACATATTAGCAAAACTGGAAGACCATCTACATTCACCAAAAATAATTTTTAAGAAAGACAAAGATCTATATAATAATTTGTTGGTACCTTTTCATAACTCCGTCTTTTTGTTGGTATATTCAGAATATAATATTCCAAATATAGACCCATCATGTCAACTAGTTACTCTAAAACTATCTAAAGAACCGAAACGAACCGTTGTCTATGAAGACAATATTATAATTGTTTACCGTTCTTTAGAAGTTGATTGTTACAATATCACTACTAAACGCTTTGAGCCATACTCGTTTGAAGGCTTAAGTGACAATTTTATTTCGTTCTTCAAAGGAAAAGATCTTTTTATCCTCCAGGCAAACGGTGTCTTAAGAAAAGTTGGGAAAGACATTAGGTCAAAAATTGAGCTTAAAGTCATCACAAAACTTTGGGATGGAAATATTTCACTTACTGGCGCTGCTTACTTTAGAAAAAATCTAGTTCTTTTTTCTAAACAAGAAACTAAAATTTGTATCTCACAGTTGACTGGGTTGTTTGAAAATATCCGGGTGATAACATTAGCAAGTGACACAAACTTGACCCCAACGATCGTACCAGTGTCTTGGCTTAAAACCGCATAGCTTAGTTGTTATTTTAAGGAACTATAGTGACTTCTTACAAACTTATGTATACGTTACTTATTTGATTTATTAAGCTATTCAAATATAGTAAAAAAATTTGTTTTTAATTTATTTAATCGAGTTATTACAGTTGCGACTACGTTAGAGCAAAGTGATTATCATTAGCACAAGCTTCCGCCCTTATATCTAAAAGAACTATTGTTTATATCACTATTTTATTTTTATTTTATGTATTAGCTAGTAAATTGGATTGTGCCGGTTGATTGACTTACATTCAGTTACTCTCTTATTTGCTATCTTTTATGTACTGATTTATTTGTATAAACGTATTGAAACAATTTTTTAAAAAGACTTCATTAATCAGAGTAACATAAGATTAATACAGTCATATAATTCTCTTGATTTTTAGTTAACTGTAAAGTATAAAGGTCGCCATAAATTTGTTACGGTACTCAAGTAATCGTGTTTACACACACACACAGACACACAGACACACAGACACACAGACACACAGACATACGGACAAGATTGCAAAATTATGTTTTTCCGTATCAGTGAGGTGTAAAACGTCGAGATTTGTAAAAATCTCGATTTTTTTTTTTTGCACGATTACAATACTTTCTCTATACTACGTATATACGAGAAAGTAAAAAGTACTTGAATTAGATTTACCATTCGCGGATGCGACAAAAACTTGATGTTTGGTAAGTAGGTAGCTATGGTACCGTAAGCACCTGAAAAAAATATCAGATCCTCAGAATTATAATATTAAGAGGATGAAAATGGACATCATATGTAGCTAAATTGTATTAATTAAATGGACGTAACTGCGACAACACATTTAAGTAGAGGTATTATATAGATAATATAGTGACCCACACTTTTCTTTATAGTTATTGAAATTGTAGTGTATTATTTTATATTTAAAGAAATTATTTTTTCCCTTTTTTTTAGTGCTTTATTACATAGAAGCTTGTTATTAAAACGTTTTTCATATATTTTTTACAAGCTTATATTTAACTTACGTCCTCTCTTTGTCTTTCTTTCGTTATAGATCTATCACTTCTAACTGGCCGATTTGTTTATATAAACTGTAAACATAAAATAAACTATATTATGCCTCAAATCAAAATATAAAGCTTCTAAGAGAAATGTCTGCTTGTTGTATAAGTAACAACTGTCAATTATAAAACTACTCATTTAATATTAAGTATATGTGGCTTTCTGTGATATTTGGGTCGTTATGTTTAGAACTCTGGTTCTTAATCTTTTTGGATGTACTGAACCCCACTAGTTTCATTAGCGCATAATTACTAACAGAAAATCAAATTCAGAGTACGCGCAAACCTGTTTCACAGAACGTAATTAAATAATCGTACTCAAAAAAGTCGATATTTTTTAAATTGGTATTGGAAAATCAATACAGTCTATGATGGGATAAATCTTGTGATGGTTGTGAAGGAAACATGTTTAGGAATATTATAGTTTCATGGTATCCAATATTCATAGCAATCATATAATAATAGAGTTTTTGGCTTAATTATGTTACCTAACTTAAATGCAAACAATAAAACAAAAAAATAATGCAAACACAAACATGTACGCAAACGTAAACACAAATATAAAAATAAAAACGCATATTTAATAGGAAACATAAGCACTAACATAAACGCAAACATAAACGCTAACATAAAACGCAAACATAAATGCAATTATAAAAACAAACTTCAAGGAAAACATTAACATGATTATAAATGCAAACGCAAACATAAACTAGATCACACAAACAAACATAAACATAAACGTAACATAACACAAACACAAACTTAAACTCAAGCACAGGCATAAACGTATTCGCAAATGTAAACGCAAACATAAAAAACATAAACACAAACTTAAACTCAAGTGTAAATACAAACAGCGCAAACAATAATGTAACGGCAAACAAATACTCGATCGTAAACACAAACTTTAAAGCAAATATAAACGCAAACAATAATGCAAATGGAAATATAAACGCAGACATAAAAGCAAACAACACAAACACAAATAAAAACGCAATCATAAACGCACATATAATGCAAACATTAACACTAATGTAAACACAAACTTAAACGCAAACATAAATGCAAAGAAAAACACAAAAAGAAACATAAACGTAATATTAGAGAACTTTTAGGAGCGGCTATCAACTGTCAGTGATTAAAAATAATAATTAATAAACAGTACATTACTTGTTTTTAATAAAATAAATATAGTATTAAAAATACCTTTTTTTTACTACAAAGTAATTTAACAATCCATGCAAGTTAGACAATTTTTTCCAACATGAAAAGAAACAAAAGGAAGCTTTTTTTATTAAAAAAAATTTTTGTGAAAGGTAACATATTTAGTTTGATTTTTTATTTGAACGTGACCTCAAATTAAAATTTTAGCTTGTAAAATGTTAATTTATTTTTAAAAATGATCTATTTAGAGTTTGTTTTCTAGACATCAAATCAGATTTTTAGTTTGGTTTTTATTCTTTGCATGTCTTCCCCCCGTCCGTGCGCACGCCTGGTACATAAACAGACATAGAATCCATTATATATATATATATATATATATATATATATATATACATATATATATATATATATATATATATATATATATATATATATATATATATATATATATATATATATATAAAGAGAGAGAGAGAGCGAAAAAGACAGTGATACCTGTGATACACTCACACGGCTTAGTGGCACCACTACTGATGCTGAATTAACTGCGCATTATATTTTTGCTATTGTTTTTTGTTGTTGAAATATTGATTAATGCCACGTATGGAATTCCATTCGTCAGTTTCTATATTTACATCCCGGTAGTGTAACAAGGAAACGTAGAAAGAAGTTACAGACGCTTAGAGGCATATTATATTTTTGTAGGAAAAACGTTATACGAGGTAAGAGTACTTTTATTATTTATTTACTACTAGCGTACCCGACCCCCGCGCGTTGCCGCGGGGATAGAAGAAAGTTTGACGAAATATATTAGGATTTCACCAACGCGTTATCAATTATAATTATATGATCTTAGGAGCGTGACATTCTTTTCTAAAAATGAGTTATTTAAATGTAAACAATGCCTGCGCTTGGATCATAAATATCAGGACACGGGTTTACCTACAATACCGCATGAAAACCTTGAGTGTACATTAATCACTCACCGAAATAATATGGTAACACACTTCAGTGACCGCCTCTATGTCAGAGCGTAGAGGGGCGCTCTCAGGGCCCCCACCCCCTGATTACACTATCGCATAGGCGCGGCGTACTACCCCTGGCTCCTTAAAACTAACAGGCGCCATCGTGCCAAATAGCATCCTGTTAATAATGATGCAGATTTCGTCATTTGCTAAAGTGACACAAATGAATAGGATTTTTTTCTTTAACATGTAAAAAAATTATTTGACGTGTTTTAAATATCATTGTGACTGATGCAATATGCTATCGTTACTAATGGTCTATTATTAGATGCTCGATCTCAATTTCTGACTGGATTGTCTAATAATAGATGCTTGTTGCATCATTCGCAAAGTGACGAAACTCTACAGTAGGCTCCTCATATTCAAAAAGTTATTTTTTCATCTTTCGCAAGGTGACGAAACTGTAAAGAAGGATTTCCTCGCGTTACAAAGTTATTTTTAGAAGCCTGTTGTAGTTTTACCGCTGAATATAATAGTACCTCTTACTTGCTATGCAGGACGCTCGATTAATGGATGCCAAGTGCCAACATCGTCGCTCTAAACCTCTGGGCGCCAAACCGTGTATTGACGAAAGTTGTACCCTATATGGCGCCGCTCATAAGAAACTTTAGTTTTCTTTTTCGCAGAAAAATTCTCGGGAGTATTCTCATCTACTCCCTTAAGTTTCATGGCACTCGGATGAACCGCATCCGAGTTTTATTTTTTATATACCGTGTAAAGAGAAAAAAAATCGCCCCCCTCCCGGAGGGCGCCGCCCTTGCAATATTAAACAATATTTTTTTTTTTGCAGAACCATACTATTGAGTTATCTAATCATCTCCCCAAAGTTTCACGGTACACGGATGATCGGTGTGAAACCGAAATAGACTTTTATTTTTATAAACCGTATATAGAGAAAAATCGCAGCCTCCCATGGCGCCGCCCTTGCGAAATTAAAAATGATTTTTTTACAGAACCCTTCGTAGAGTTTTATAATGAACTCCCCAAAGTTTCATGCCTATCGGATGAACGGTGTCACTGCAATTCACTTTTATTATTTTTATATACCGTATATAGAGAAAAATCGCACCCACCTGTGGCGCCGCCCTTGCGAAAATAAAAATGATTGTTTTACACAACCCTTACCTGGGGTGTTCTAATCAACTTCCCAAAGTTTGATGGCGATCGGATGAAAGGTGTAAAACCGGAATAGACTTTTATTTTTATATACCGTATATATAGAAAATCGGCCCCTCCCGTGGCGCCGCCCTTGCGAAATTAAAAATTATTTTTTTACAGAACCCTTCCCTAGAATGGTATAATGAACTCCCCAAAGTCTCATGGCTATCGGATGAACGATGCCAAACCAAAATCGACTTTTATTTTTATATACGGTATATAGAGAAAAACAAATCGCGCCCTGCAGGGGCGCCACCCCTGCGAATTTGACATTTTTTTTTTCGCAGAAACCTCCCCAGGAATATTCTCAACAACTTCCCAAAGTGTCACGGCGATGTGATGAGAGGTGTAGTAATGCATAAAGGACAAACAAACACACAGACACACAGACATACATTGCTTTTTATATATATAGACTAGCGTACCCGACCCCCGCGCCTTGCCGCGGGGATAGAAGAAAGTTTGACGAAATATATTAGAAGGATTTCACCAACGCGTTATCAATTATATGTTCTAAAGGGCGTGACCTTCTTTTCCAAAAATGAGTTATTTAAATGTAAACATTGCCTGCGCTTGGATCATAAATATACGGACACGATTTTACCTACACTACATTAATCACTCACCGAAATAATATGGTAGAACACACTTCGGTGAACGCCCCACTGTCAGAGACGTAGAGGGGCGCTCTCAGGGCCCCCACCCCCGATTACACTACCGCATAGGCGCGGCGTACGACCCCTGGCTCCTTAAAACTAACAGGCGCCATCGTGCCAAATAGCAACCTGTTAATAATGATGTAGATTTCGTCATTCGCTAAAGTGACACAAATGAACAAGATTTTTTTCTTTAACATGAAAATAAAGTATTTGGCGTGTTTTAAACATCAGTGTGACTGATGCAATATGCGTTATTGATGGTCTATTATTAGATGCTCGATCTCAATTTCTCACTGGATTGTCTAATAATAGATGCTTATTGCATCATTCGCAAAGTGACGAAACTCTACAGTAGGCTCCTCATATTCCAAAAGTTATTCTTTCATCTTTGGCAAGGTGACGAAACTGTACAGAAGGATTTCCTCGCGTTACAAAGTTATTTTTAGAAGCGTGTTGTAGTTTTACCGCTGAATATAGTAGTACCCCTTACTCGCTTTGCAGGACGCTCGATTAACGGATGCCAAGTGCCAACATCGTCGCTCTAAAACTCTGGGCGCCAAACCGTGTATTGACGAAAGTTGTACCCTATATGGCGCCGCCCATAAGAAACTTTAGTTTTCTTTTTCGCAGAAATATTCTCGGGAGTATTCTCATCTACTCCCTAAAGTTTCATGGCACTCGGATGAACCGCATCCGAGTTTTATTTTTTATATACCGTGTAAAGAGAAAAAAAATCGCTCCCCCCCGGTGGTGCGCCGCCCTTGCAATATTAAACAATATTTTTTGCAGAACCCTACCATTGAGTGATCTAATCATCTCCCCAAAGTTTCATGGTACACGGATGAACGGTGTGAAAACGAAATTTTATAAACCGTATATAGAGAAAAATCGCAGCCGCCCGTGGCGCCGCCCTTGCGAAATTAAAAATGATTTTTTACAGAAGCCTTCCCTGGAGTTTTATAATGAACTCCCCAAAGTCTCATGCCTATCGGATAAACGGTGTCACTGCAATTCACTTTTATTATTTTTATATACCGTAAATAGAGAAAAATCGGACCCTCCCGTGGCGCCGCCCTTGCGAAATTAAAAATTATTTTTTCGCAGAACCCTTCCCTAGAGTAGTATAATGAACTCCCCAAAGTCTTATTGCTATCGGATGAACGAAGCCAAACCAAAATAGACTTTTATTTTTATATACCGTATATAGAGAAAAATCGGACACTCCCGTGGCGCCGCCCTTACGAAATTAAAAATGATTTTTTACAGAACAGAGTTTTATAATGAACTCCCTAAAGTTTCATGCCTATCGGATGACCGGTGTCACTGCAATTCACTTTTATTATTTTTATATACCGTATATAGAGAAAAATCGGACCCTCCCGTGGCGCCGCCCTTGCGAAATTAAAAAATATTTTTTCACAGAACCCTTCCCTAGAGTGGCGCCACCCCTGGGAATTTGAAATTTTTTTTTTCGCAGAAACCTCCTCAGGAATATTCTCAACAACTTCCCAAAGTTTCACGGCGATGTGATAAGAGGTGTGGTAATGCATAAAAGACACACACACAGACAGACAGACACACACACATACATTGCTTTTTATACATATAGATTATTGATATGCTTAAAAGTTTTAAGAATGGATTTTCTTGTGATGGGTTATCTAACATTTTTGGTCTATTTAAAGACTATTATTATTGATGTCGTTTTCAGATAAAAAGTTAAAAACCAAAAGATTACTCTTTTAATTAAAACTTGTGCATACCTTTATACATATCTGTACACGGGTGATTGTTTGACTTTATATACCAAATAGATAAACTTGATTTGTAATGTAGAGAACAGCTTAATAACATTTGTCTTTTATAAATACTTTATTAAAATATAGGTGTACTTGCTGTTTAACTAATTTAATAGAATCTAAAAAGTTGCTTTGTTCAATTAAATATAAAATATAGTTAAAAAAACAAGCTACGTTTCCAAGAAAATATTGTGGGGGTTTTTAAGTTATACTACATCGGGAATATTTGTTTGAAAGACCATTGGGACGATTATAATTGACGTTTATATTTTCCATGACATGAAGTGGAGCATTCATTTAACATACATACTAGTATGTAATACAGTTATTTTATTAGTATTCTTTTCAAAAATTGAACTGTATTCATATGCGAGGAAGCTAATATATTGCACAATTTTGAAAAGGCCTTAATTAACAAAGCTCCAAAGGGTATGAGACAAGAACGGAAATTCCAATTTACTGTTAGTGTAGTGTAAACAAAAGTGAACAAATATAACGGTGATAGGACTAATGATCTCAGGAAAAAAATATCTTCTGACAAATGATTTAAAAGACGAATAATGTCACGGACAAAAGGTATCAGAACAAATTTTATCCTGGACAGAGGATCTCAGACAAAATATTTAAAATAGGAAACAAAAACGAGTTATGTTGAACAGTTTTAGAAAAAAGAACCAAAACGTTAATCTACGTATTACACACCTAAGTTTTGGTTTACTGAGTATGATGGGCACCTTATTCAAATCAGGGAAAGTAAATTCGGTAAGGTAATTTTCTAGCCTCCATATGCTAAGATCATAGAAACAGAAAAATTCTACCTCAACAGCGCTACAAATACCCATGTAAAAGATCAAGCGATATTTTTTATCGAAGCATTTTATAATTGTAGAAAAAGTAAAAATCTGTTTCTAAAGATTGTCTAACTGAAACTATACTTTAATTTCGAAAACTTCAAGGAGATATATTAACACTAATTAGCTCTAAATGCATGTATATTTTCATTTTTTTGCATTTAAATATAGTTATAAAATATTAGTAAGAACTAAGTGTTAAAATTAAAGTCTAAAAAAAAGTTCGTTTTATATAAACAAAACTAGACTACTAGTTATCCTTGGATAACCATGGGTTTTGGGTGTTATCAATAAAGGACGTCACGTTTATTTGACGACTTTTATATTTCCCCTCCCCTTCCTACTGTCAGACATCGTCATAAAAAAACCAGACGCCACATTAAAAAAACGTCACACACAAGACAACTTGTTTTTGTCTTTAAAAACAAACATCGATTTCGACTGAGCGTGGGTCTAATCACACTATCCATTTTGCTTTAACAATACGTCTGTTTGCTATTTTAGCTTTATAAAGCGTTAAACTTTTGAATTGGCAAGATGGTCTTCCATGGAAGCCGCCTTGTTTGTTTTGAAAAAAAGATTAATTAATCTAGTGTCGTTAATATAAATAAAGTTATTGTTCTGAAGTTTTATAATTAAAGTAGTGTTTCTTCCAAAGAATATACCAATAAATTAATTATTCTTTCAATAAATTAATGTTTAACAGTTTAGTAAAAAAAGATTATTTTCTACATAAATACGTATTTTACAGCTCTACACATATTGCAGATTCACTCCTGTAACCAAACAGACAAACAAAAAAAAAAAAACAAATAAATATACAAACAGGTAAACAAACTTGAGTTTTATTAGTATATAGATAGATAGAAAGATTTTATGTATTCAGCATTCTTTGCCAATCATCAAATAAAGCCATTAGAGATTATTATAATGTATTAGAGACTATTTTTTGGTTTTATTTTTTCGCTATCTTTTAATAGCATACGAGCCGACCCGCGGCGTATCATACGCCGCTATTTAGTTGTTTTATTTTCTACTTTTCAGTAATTCATAATTTGTGAATTCGACAGTACCAATGCTGCCACTGAAAATATTTGCTTAAAAACACTAAACCCCCTTCCCCCCCCCCACGTGAAAGCAGCCTCCTCTTAGTTACCTCCTCTAAGTTTAAAATCGTTTCAAACTAAATTATCTGCCCCTAATAGCCGTCACCAAACCCGTCTTTATGATTGTAAAATGTAAACAGCGTGAACCACAGCTCACCAGACCATGTGGGGGGGGGGGGGGAGTGGGGGTGGGGGTGGTAGCGATAGAGAGGAAGAGAGGGGACTGTAAGGCGCGCTTGCAGCTTGTTTTCTAACGGCTCCCAGAAGAGAATTATATATATATAGATGCACTTACCTTTTTACATTTTTGTTGTTAATTAATTAATTTTGAATTTATCGTCGTAGAAGGAAAAGCGGCATTTCTATTGAAGTAAATATGGAAGACCAGAACAAGAGCGAACATCAGTTTATCCCAGGTGTGAACGTGAGTACATGTACTTGCATATTGTAAAATGGAAGACACTTTAGTAAACTGTATTTTTGTGTACACCCATAGGACATCATGAAGCCGAGATCTGCCATGGAGGTGAAGCTGACTTACACAAGCATTGTGTTGACTGTAAGAAGAATCCTGGTCATATCGACTTCATACCTGTTAATGATATTAACATGGATCATCTCCCCTCTAAATACCGCGATGCTGCAGTGCTGGAATCAATCAAAACTTTATCTGCTCTAACAGTCATGTTAAAAGTAAAATACACAAGCACGGAAAGACCGGATTCTGTTCACTTATTCTCTGGTCAATATCCATTTTTCAACAACAGAGGAAGTGACGTGTTGAGGACAGGGACGGGGAGGGTGTGGCACGTGGACAAGTATACGGAGAAAGACAACAAGGGCACTTGTCCTTGTGACAAATGTCAACACTCGGACACACCCAGTAAAGTGTGGGGGGAGTTTCAAGTTCTCACAGCCAGCCACGTTGTGTTTGATGAAAGTGAAGTGCGAGAGACCAAATGTATTTTTGGGTATGATCAAAATGACAGTGAGGTGAAAACTCTTCAAGGGTGTAAACTTTTAGATGCCGATAGCCAGAAAGATTGGTGTAGATTTACATGTGCGACTTGTGATATGACTTTAGTTGAAGAGCAATTGAAAATGTCTTCTTACTTTATGGAACTTTCTAGAATATTACAAAGGCAATTCTCGAGCATAGAAGATGATACGATGGCTATTATTGTCTCTCATCCACACGGCTGTCCAAAACAAGTAACTATTGGAAAGTTAAAAACTGAATTGAAAAGAAAAGGCTATCGTACTCTCTACAATGGAGAGAAATATGATTGGACATACACAAAGTACACGTACACCACACCTACATGTAATGGCAGTAGTGGTGCGACGGTCTACGCCCCGTTTAGTGATCTGAGATGCATTTTGTGGCATCCTCACAGCGGAGCTAACGAAACAGAAAGTTATTGTGGCGAAGATGCTTGGTTTAGTTTAGATTGTGGTTGTGAGATTGGATATGAGCAGAGAAAAAAGTTTTGTACTCCCACTTTGCATGTGGACAGGGAGGATGCAACAAACCTCCTAAAAAGGTATTCTTTTGAACGACCTGCTTTTGGAAGTGAGGAAAGCAAGGCGAAAAAGTCAAAGACGAGTAAAGAAAAACGCAGAAACGAAAATTAAAAGAAAGTAACACAAAAGCTTTTTAAATTGCTTTTTTTGGAGGCTTGGGCGGATTCATGGCATTTGACATAATTTATATATATATATATATATATATATATATATATATATATATATATATATATATATATATATATATATATATATATATATATATATATATATATATATATATATATATATTATCGCTCTATAGTTTTCAATAATTTTAATTGATGTTCACTTAAAGTGGTTTTGTGCATTTTAAAAATGTTGGTTCAATATTCCGTGATGTTCCTGTTTTTCATCAAATTTTAGAAGTTCAAATAAATGCAATTTTACTTTCACTGTTCTTTTTCACTATGGAAGAGAAACGTAAAGTGTATATTGTTTCATTAAAAAATCGACGTTCTTTAGCATTTTAAAGATGCAGCCCTATTTATTTTCTAGTTAGATTCGTTAAAGGAATTCAAATTGAATTTTTTTTCAACAAATTTTCAACGTTCTGCTTCTGAATAAATCCTTATGTGAGTTTCTGTGCACTAGATAATTACTAGTTGCTGCTTTGTACTATGTAATATGTACACACACTTATTAACCATTCTGTATATTTTCTAAAAACAAGATTATTTAAATACGCAACTGTAATATTTTAAAACTGACATTGCTTTTGTGAAATTTTATTTGTTACTGTGATTTAAAATATTTTAGTCTCATGTTACACGAAAATAAAATGGCTTTTAAATTCATTGACTACTATTATTGTCATTGTATATTTTAGAAACAGCTAAGGAATACGTTTAATGATATATACATTAATTCAATGTTCATATCCAGTCCACATAAACAAGATAAACGATATTTTTCTATATAGACTAAAATTAATTTTACGCAATAGATTTTTCAAATGCCAAGATAATAAGACAGAATTAAAAGCCCTCATTATGTCTTTCTAATGTATAAACAATCCACACAAGCACCTTGCACTTTTCAGGAAAAAATGTAGTTAAAATAATTCACTCTAATGTATTGGTAAACGACTTGACGATCGACGTGATCTACAACTCCTTGCTTACTCATGAAGATGATATATAACTGTAAAAATATCTTTGTGATTGATGATGATGATTTTCCGTTCTGTAGTCTAATTTGACCGGTGGGTTCCCTTAGGTCAGCTTTAGGAAAATAAAACAGATGAATTATCTATTTTCGACCCCTCTTGCATGTTGAAGATGGTGAATTTATTTCCTAGTGATTCCAGTGCAGTAAAGATGAAACAAATATCTCTGTCTAATAATACTATTCAGCGTAGATGTTAAAAAAAAAAACACATCTTAAATGAAATCAAGGTTTCACAATTTTTTTCTTTTCAAGTAGATGAATCAACAGACGTGAGTTCGTATTCGCAGTTGATCGTCCTTGTGAAATGTATTCATTCAGATAATAATAAGCAAGTGTTGGGATTTTGTGAAGATATCATGGAGAATATAAAAACGTGGTTTAAAACTGGATCTTTCTTCTTCTTCTTCGTTCTTAATTTTTAGTGTTGGAAGGGATCGAGCCTTATCTGCCAGAGGGTTTGAACTCGAGACTTTTTCGAAATTGTTAACCATGAGCTTTTTACAGACTCGACCACGCCTCCATCACAGTTAAGGATACGTGTCAACTGGTTATGCGCCATTGGGGCCATTGACTCTGATTTCAGCCTGCTTTTCTTAAAAAAAATTGAAAGAGAAGATTTCTGGGCATCTTGGATCTCTTGAGAACGAACTGCGGCTTTATTTCCCTGAGCTGTAAGAAGAAGAATCTGCGTTGACACCTTACCCTTTCTCTGCTTACCTTGATGTTGCCAGCATTCTTGATGACTTACAGGATGAATGATCCCGCGTCACGTACCGTGTTTAATGCAAACCTGCTCACACAATTTTGGTGTAGTATGCAACATTCATACCTAGACGTGTCATGGATTGCCCTTCGAGTTTTAGTTTATTTTGTGTCTACATATCTTTGCGAGAATAGTTTTTCAACACTTCTACAATTAAAAACAAAACTTCTTTTTTTCTTGGTTCTTATTTTAGTGTTGAAAAGGATCCCCATACAGCACAGTTAAGTGTACGTGTCAACTGGTTATGCGCCATTGAGGCCACTGACTCCGATTTCAGCCTGCTTTTCTTTTTGGATTTGCTTCCCCAGCTAACGAGCCTCATCTGCCCGAGAGTTCGAACTAGAGACTTTTCAGTTTAGCAACCATGAGCTTTAACGACTCGACCGCGCCGATCACCAAAAAAAGAAATAAAAGAAATAAATAAAATAATGATAATGATATTAGGTTAGCGTTAATAGCATGTAATTTCACTCACCGCATTAAAATAGTTATTAAGAATAATTGTTGAAAATCTTACTTTAGTGCTTATTAACGTCCTTACTAATTTAGACTTTTCATTTATATGGGGGTCGCGGGTCACTTACTTTTGATAAAAGGGGGTCGCCACTCATAAAAGTTTGGGAACCACGGCCCTCTTAGATAACCATGCGCGCAGCAAATAGATTTTTTAAGAAAAGTAATCTTTATTTATAACCGTATCAAGTACGTAATAGAACGTAGATATAGGCCACATGCATTTGCGTACAGTCGTGCATTGAAAACAAGGTAGTGTAAACCAGTATTTCAATGATATGTATTTTCTTGCGCTTATTTCGGTTGTAACAAAACACAATAAGATAAATGGAGTAGAAAGTCGATGAATAAGAGAAAGTAGGTAAACTTCATTGAATAGTTTAAACCATTGTATACATTTTAAATTGACTTTTGTGAGATAAAACAATTGTACTGCTCGTCTACCAGTCATGTAAATGACTGATTATAAAATTTTTGTTACGTTGTACATTGCTTGGTGATTGAATACTTGCATTTTGGTAAGTTGTCGAGTACATTAAAAATGACAGCACCATTTCACAGTACTAAACTCTAATTATAGAGTTTTTTTGTGTATATGAAACAATTTTCAAATCGCCCACTTGGTGTGTATGTGGCTATTGAAAGACGTATAGACCGTAAAATCAATACGCTGCTCCTGTTAAGCTCGGTATAAAAAGTAGACCAAAATATTTTGTTTTCGAATTTTAATTATCAAACTTGTGTATATGATCGTGTCATACATCATCACTTTTTCCCGTTTCTACCAATAATAAGATCAAACTGATATCATTCTTCGACACCACTGCCAGATGCAAATTCAACATTCTATAAATGAAAATCAAAGAGAAACAAAACCCTTCAGTTGCGAAGTTAATAACAAACTCGAATGGTTCACGTGTTTGGGGCTATCGACAAGAAAAATTAAAAGTATTATGTGAAATTACTTGAAATTAACCAGGTAGAAGTATTAACTTACCAAGAATATAAAAGAACAGATTGCACAATATTAATAAATGAAACAGGACACAGAGGTCTGTAGGTACCCCTGCATCAGTGGAGATGTTGCAAAATTGGATACAAATAATAACTCTCTGAACATTAGAAACTGGGATATCCAGTGACGCTCCAGAAGAAAACTGAATGCCATAATCGGTGAGAAATCACGCGTCTATCTGTTGCAAGCAGTCCGAGCCGAATTAGCAAAATGCTCTAGAGGTCGAGAACGTCTCGTTTTAGAAATTTGGACCAGTCTGGTATCGTCAATTATAATACGCCAACTACTAACAACATGCGTATAATCGTTGACTTACGACTATGAGTATTGGTTTCTTCGTAATTTAGCCGCTGTGAGATGTTGCCGTAGATGAATAAATACCGTACGAAGGTAAAACATGATTTTCAATTAATATTTCTAGCATATTTCTTGGTCATAGCTATTATACTGAACTTCAAATACAGTATGCCAACGCCACAGACAAAGATGTCCATGACCTCTAATCAATGTTTCAGAGTAAATTTGCTAATATAAAACACAGACGACTTTGACAAATATTACTCCAGTAAACATATTCATCTGTTTTAAAACTATAACAGTTTATCGCATTTTGTAATTTGTTTATTTACTTAAATTTCACTTCACGTACGCTCTCATACCCAAACAATCGCACTTCCTCCACAGTTAGTCGTGTAGTAGCCCACCCTTTACACAACGTAGCTGATTTTGAGAAGAGGTTTTATACCTCGCACAGATGTATGGAAGTTAAATAACGATTATGGAATCCCTTCGAAATTTATCAACATTATTATTTAAGCACAGCAAGGCAAGGTAAGCACTAAACACAGATACAGTCTATGTTTATTAAAACATATGCATTTTCTAACACCATTTCAAAGATTGTCTGCAATACAGCTATAAATCATAAAATATAAAGTAAAACAATTATATAAAAATGATTTATCTATCTATATATATATTCTATATTGTATATAAAGCAATGTGTTTGTGTGTGTTTGTCTTTTATGCATTACTACACATCTCATCACGTCGCCGTGAAACTTTAGGAAGTTGTTGGGAATATTCTTGGGGAAGTTTCTGCGAAAAAAATATATTTCAAATTCGCAGGGGTGGCGCCCCGACAGGGCGCGATTTGTTTTTTCTCTATAAAAGGTATATAAAAATAAAAGGCTATTGCGGGTTCACTTCGTTCCCCGATCGACATCAAACTTTGGGGAGTTGATTAGAACACTCCAGGTGAGGTTTCTGCTGAAAAATGTTTTTTAATTTCGTAAGGGCGGCGCCACTGGAGGGTGCGATTTCTCTCTCTATACGGTTTATAAAAATAATAAAAGTGAATTGCACACGTCCGCTATGAAACTTTGGAAAGATGTTGAGAATACTCCAGAATACTCCTGGGGAGGTTTCTGCGCAAAAAATATTTTCAAGTTCGCAGGGGTGGCGCACCGGCAGGGCTCGATTTGTTTTGTCTTTATAACGGTATATAAAAATAAAAGTCGATTGCGGTTTCACACCATTTATTCGATCGCCATGAAACTTTGGGGCGTTGATTAGAACACTTCAGGGAAGGGTCCTGCAAAAAAAAAATATTTTTTAAAAATTCAGGATGCTATGTGGCGATCTGGGTTATCCTGTGAGCACTATGGCGCCTATCTTAGTTTTAAGGAGCCAGGGGCCGTACGCGTCGCCTCTGCAGTAGTGTAATCGGGGGCTCCAGAGAGCGCCCCTATACGTCACTGTCAAATGGGCGGTCACCGAAGTGTGTTCTATCTCATTATTTGTGTGAGTGATTAACGCACACTCAAGGTTTTCATGCGGTAGTGTAGGTAAACCCGTGTCCCGGTATTTATGATTCAAGCGCAGGCATTGATTACATTTAAATAACTCAGGTTTAGAAAACAAGGTCAGGTGTCTAGGAATATATGATTGATTACGCATTGATGAAAATCTTCTTATATATTTCGACAGACTTTCTTCAATTCCCGCGGCAACGCGCGGGGACAGTACACTAGTTATAAATAAAAATTAGGGGAATAAATATATACAACTAAAGAGTTTTCTTTATTAAAAGCATTGGTCGCTAAATGTGTAGGAAATTTTTTGAGCGACCAACTGTTTTATTAAAATAGCAATTAGTTTTAATGTCTCAATTTCAGTAAATTATAAGACTTAACATTTTTTTAAATATTGTTTTAGCTTTGTCACTAATATCTCAACATGTAGTGTTGCGTTTGACGAACAATTACTTTATAAATTATTTTTTTCCAAATTCGTATAAAAATAAAAATAAATAGGCCTATAATTCACGTTTAACGGATACCGACGGCGGCTAGTATCTGTTTAATAGTGCGGAATATTATTTGTACTTTATAAATTCATATTCGTTTTTTGAAAAAGCGTAAATTATTACTTCCAGTCAACGGAAAGTACTCAAGATTTAACAGAAGGCAGAGAATTAGATCTTTTACTTATATGTGAAGTTTTGTTTATCTATCTGAAAAATCACTCAACTAGTAAATAGCTAAAAATTTGATACATGCCTACAAATATGATATTATACTTATGTATGAAATTTCATCAGCCTAGCTTTAATGGTCTTCAAGTTATTACGTTCACAGACACACATACATACATACAGAAGGGGTCGGCGTGGTCGAGTCGTTAAAGCACATGGTTGCTAAACCGAAAAGTCTCGAGTTCCAACCCTCGGGCAGATGAGGCTCGTTAGCTGGGGACAGCCACTTTTCTATGAGAGACAACTAAAAAACTGCTGCCTTGTAGTTTGTTCTTGGTTGGACAAAGGCTATGGAAGCAAATCCAAAAAGAAAAGGAGGCTGAAATCGGAGTCAATGGCCTCAATGGCGCATAAATAGTTGACACGTATTCTTAAATGTGATGGAAGCGTGGTCGAGTCGGCAAAAGCTAATGGTTGTATTCGAAAAAAATCTCGAGTTCAAACCCCCTGGCAGATAAGGCTCGATCCTTCCAACACTAAAAATTAAGAACGAAGAAGAAGAGCACATACACACAAACGGACAGAATTCCCAAGCCCAGTGTCTCCGACTCGAGTACGCGTAAAACGCCGAAATTCTGATAAATCTGTATTAAGAATTTTCGCCCCATTAAAATAAGTCCCCTGTACTTCATATTTGATGAAGTGCTGAGAAGTAAAACGATGAAAACGGTCAAAATATCAGGTGCGTTTGGTGCACGATTAAAATACTTCCTCTATACTCTGTATACGAGTAAGTAAAAATGGCAGAACAAGGTAATGTGGTTTAAAATAGCATCATTTTATTTATAAACTTTATCTGCAAAGTTTTTAAACAAATGACTATCGATCACTGAGTACCTGTACAGCAAATCAATGCATGTCTTACGAAAAAAAAAATTGGTTTATAACTTACGCTTGATGAAAATAAATAGAAATATGGCCTTAAACTATTTCATAGTTCTCTGGATTTGCAACTTTTATAACATTGATTCTATCTATAGTAAATTTCAAAATTATTATTAGGCTTAAGTTTAAATCTTATTACTATTTTAGGGACGCTATGAAGTCAAAATATTTTAAACAAAAACTAATTTTATTCATGTCGATAGATAGAAGGATTCTCTACAACTCGCTGGTGTCCATTAAGAACGAAAAAGAAGAAGAAAATCTGTTGCTTTAAAATAATATAATGAAATTTTCTACTTCGCGTATAGTAGGCTACGAGCTAAATAATACATTTTATGTTTACAAAACTGATACGTAAACAATGCGAACAGAATAACATTTAAAAGTATCACTTCTTGGACACAAACATCTATTCTCATGTTTTCTAGAGTATAAACCTGTTTACGAGCGTCGTTATGTTTATCTGAGAACAACACGTCAGAATTTTATTATCTGTATAATCTTACATACATAATAAGATATTCGGTATTATAATATAGTTCCTATTATCATTTCACACCCCAACCCCCCCCCCCCCACCCCCACATTTATATCCCTCCTTCCACACAATAACGTATGGCAGGCTTCCCCTTAGAATTAGAAGAATACACTTATCCCACCCTAACCTCTACATGACGTCTACACCATTTTTCCCCATTCATTGACTTGTAATTTTGGCATTCACCCAGTTCTGGAGACTATAAAGTAAATTCATATTTATATTTAGCAAATAAAAACACGGATAAGTTACGAGTGGATTTTATGTCAGCAAATTGTGTTAGTTAGATTGTAGATGTCTTTATGTCTAACTTAAAGAAGCAGGGAATTTCACACACATATATACACACATTCAAACACACACATACACGCACAAAAATACTCATACAAACGCTAACAATAAAAACACACATATACACGCAAATAACAGCACTTCACGCATACACGCACACACACATACGCACACAAGCAAACAGATACACAAAGGAAAAAATAAATGTACTTATTTATTTATTTTTGTTTCAGGCACCTTATCATTTTTACCTTGATTTCTGTTACTGTTGCAACGTTTTGTCTTTCCTGCAGCTTATTTTATAGGAAACATAGTTTTCAGGTAAATGTAAGAATTGATAGAATCGAACATAAATACATAAAAATAAGTTATATATATATATATATATATATATATATATATATATATATATGTACTTCTCAGAATTAAAAAAAAAAGTAAAATATGTAAGATCTATTTCAGCCTGTATACAATTTAAAGTTAATATTGTCGAAGTACGCTGACAGTTACACGTATAGTGAAGCCATGGACGTGAGTACTTTGTATTAAACAAGCAGTAAAATGTGTCTCATTCTTGTTGAAAAATCAGTTATCTTGACTTGCTTTCGATTTTAAATTGTTACAGTAAATTACTTTATAAAATGTTTCTTTGTTAATGTTACTTTTTATTTTTTTGTTTTCAAATCTATATAATATGTTGCTTGGTAAAAATATAATTAACTATTGTCAGTCTGTTATCTACATAAACGTATAGGTTTAATAATAAAATCTATATTGTTGCTGATAAACTTTAAAAAATGCCGATATGCTAAGAAATAAAAACATTTAAATCAGAATATAACTTTTGACTTTAATGAAAAACATTAAAATAGAAATAAAATTCGTGAGAGTAAAATAAACATTGACCTACATACTAAATACTAGGATTTGTAAATGTAAAGTGAGTAAGTAGGCGAAACGTTCAAACTGCTATATGAATATTTCAACAACGAAAAACAACGAGTACAATGGAGAAATGACCTAGCTTAACTACATACAGACGCTATTTTTGGTACCTGTCAGGGTTCAAGTTGAAGAAACCGTTACTCCACCAAATGTGATAGTGGCAGTTCTACCACCAAATGTAATGCAGGGTTGTAGAAATTTTGATTCTATAAAGATATAACTGAAATGCTCCGTAATGCACATACATAATATATTCTTCCTACGGTGATCGCCTCTTTTTATGTACCCTTATGTACAGTTTTGAATCAACACAAAAGTCCAATTCAATATAATACAGTTCTTTATTTACACATCAAATCGACTCCTACCATAACTACGCCTTAACACATGACAATCTACTAACACTATCTAACTACACCTACTACTTGACTTCTCCCTACACACTCCCATGATCATCCCTACTACTACCTACATTCTAACTCCTGCATCTTTCCCCTACCGCTTCCTTTCTCTGGTCATCTGACCGTCTCACGTGACCCGTCATACCCAGTAATTCTATAGAGTCCTTTCATATGACGTCACGTCCGTTCGTGATACCTACGTCCGCCGCCACGGTGGTGTACACCAGACGTAAACACAATCAGCTGTTCACCAGCGCTGGACGCGTTCACTATTATTAGGCCTACTATTAGATCTTATTATTCTTATTATTACTTTTGACTTTGTCTTTTACTATTAGTATTTATGAAGCTCGAGCATATTGGTTTTATTAATCGTTATCTTTTATAATTAAAATGAAATTTATTATTTTACTGTCCTTACCTGAAACAAAGTATTGAGAACTGCATTTGATCAGATTCGTCTACTTAAACTCTAAACGCAAACAGTATTACTAACAGAATATTTATTTAGAAATTTCGGCCACATATTTATATTATCCACGAAACTGTCAATAACAGTATAAGGATCTTCAATTTCAAAGATTTCAAGTTTTTAAATTTATTTTTCCTTTTTCGCGGGGGCGGTTCTTTACATACAGTGAACGCGTCCAGCGCTGGTGAACACGTCCAGCGCTGGTGAACAGCTGATTGTGTTTACGTCCGATGTACACCACTGTGGCGGCGGACGCAGGTTTCACGTGATTTAAGTCGCGTGTTTGCAAGGACTCTATTGGTCTACCTAACTACGCTATAACTTTCTGCTATCTTCTACTAGACCTCTATAACTTAAGCTTGCGTCATCACAGTACCCAATAGTGTAGAAATGCATATTACACATTAAGCAATCTCTTTATATAGCAGCAGGAAGTAATAAAACATATTTTTGTTTAAGAAAAGAATATGAACCGTGTATTCAAAAAGTTCACCTTTTTACTGTCTCGAATATACGAATAGAGAAAGTCTTGTAATCGTGCAAAAAATAAATAAATTAAGATTTTTGCAAATCTCGACGTTTTACAGCTCCCAGAGTTAGAAAAATATAGTTTTGCAATCTTGCCCTTTTGTCTGTGTGTATGTGTGTTTGTGTGTCTATAAACACGATAACTTGAGAACCGTTACAGCAAGGTTAATGAAATTTTTATATTTAAGTATTTTATCAAAATCTTAGATCCGTATCCACTTTGAGCGATTTCCAATAACCGGAAGTGTAACTTTTCCACTTTGAATTTTTCAAAAGCCTATAACTTGAGTACTGTTTCAGATAGATAAATGAAATTTCACATGTACGTAAAATATCTAATTTTCTACCTACTGTCAAATTTTGACCGAAAGTAGTAATTTACGCTATTTCCGATTTCTCAAAAACGCATTTGAATCTGTATAGAACTAATAATATTCCACACTTTTATAAACATTTTGCTTGACGTTCGCTTGATGCGCAATTCTTTTTTCTACTATTTTAATTTCTTCTATTTTTTAAAGTTTAAAAAATTAAAAATCATGTCTATATCCTGAGTTGCCATCCCCCGTAGTGTTATATAAAAACATTCGAGTAATTTTAGGGGAGATCACTCGCGGTTTATTATAAACACTGGTAGAACAAAAAAAAGTTTTGTTTTTCATATAAAAGTTTAAACAAAGTTTAATTATTATTTTAAATATGTAATACAGTTATTTAGTATTGAATTTTTTAAGGGATTAAAATGCATTAAAATGCATACTGTTTTAATAAAGTTAAAGATGTATATTTCTCATTAAATAACGTTATTTAATTTCCCGAAACTTTAAAGAACTGTCAAATACATGTTTTATAAGTGGTTTCTTTTCAATTCTCCCAGTTCAACCAATCAGTTCTAGTGTTTGCTAACGCCCATCTTCGACCGTCACCCAGGTTCCCGGGAACAGAAAATTCCACAGGTAGGGTTAATTGTTCTGACGCAAATTTAAACAATTTTTTCTAAATAGTTTACACAGCAGAAGATTGTAAAATGTGAACCTACGCAATCAAAATACAATTGATTTATAAATAACGTAGGATTCTTATCTATACGCTACACTATTTATTACGGGAAATATATTTTAAAAACATTTAACATTTTACATTTAGTTTCACAAGGAGAGCATTTGACTTCTAATCCAATATTAAATTTGTAAAAATTCTTTTTCTAATCAATTTCTTTCAACTCGTAAGATCCTACATTTAGCTCGACGCAGCATTCAATTCTGTGTGTAAACCAAAGTTCAAAAGGACTTCCACTACACAGCAAATGTGTAAATATCACACAAGAAGGAATTAAAATAGTATTTTCTGGTTGGTTAAATATTCTTTATTAACACGTGATAGTTTCCATATTAAACATTTGCTTTTGTTGGTAATTGTAAATACTGGAATTCACATGTATGCTTAGTTTAATCTATTGCTTCTTAAATTTAAATAAAAATAAAAAATCTGCTTTTTTTCAATACAGGTTTATACTACATATATAGCAACATAAACTTCACACCTAATACAACTAGGTCTTCATCAGATTTCACATACCAGGTAATATACAAATTATACATAAATATTTTGTATATGTATTAATTTAAAATATGTGTATGCAGTATAGAGCATTCTTTATTTTCCTCAAACAAATACTTCGCTCGCAAATACTACAATCGTTTTCGGAGAAATCATTTTCAATGTACTAATTAGAATGTCGAGAAACAATCATGAATGAAATACATATTAGTATACAATGTTCATGTAAATTTTGAACATTTTTTTCCAGACGTGGTTCCAGTACGTCCACCGTCACTCAGCCCACAGCCCCGTGTTATCTGGTGTCTTGTTGAGAACTGTTCACACAACTTGTGCCAACTGTACACACAGCCAGGAAACTGCTAATACAGGCAGGTGATTTTATATTAACAACTAATGTTTAGTCATTTACATTTGATGTTAATCAAATTAACAAAATCATAGCTGCTATGTCGATTTTATGGTTCATGCTAGAGATTTTATCATATTTAATTGTTCATTTAAATAAAAAACAAGATAAATCTATTAGCTTCGTATGGTTTAAAAAGTCTGATCATATGAAATAGGTTCAGCGGTTTCTGGAAGCCAAAATGTTTTGCAATGTCCATTACAAAAACATGCTTTTATTGGTATAGTTTTCGTAATATTACTGTAAGCGAATGGATTGTTAGGCTTTTTTTTCTAAACTGTTTTTAAAAGGTGCCGTAATTTTTAAACACAATCAAATTAATGACAGGTGGTATATTTAATCTGCAAACCGGCGACCTAATTCAAGTGAGTGTGTCAGGTCAAGGTCTCGTTGATTTCGGACAAGGACAAACGTCCCTGGGTCTTTTTTTATTGAGGTTTCAGGTTGGTAGATAACCAGGGTATTGTGTGGTCTAATGGTAAGAATTACGACTGCTAACCCGAAAGTCTCGAGTTGGGATCTCTGTAGTATAGCCTATGATTAGCTCTCAAGGGGTAACCGTGGTCAATGAAACAGATGAACTACACTTCATCTGCAAAATATGACTTGAGTACGAATTTCAAAATAAGCAATGACAGGGTAGTGCATGGTTCATGTTTTTTTTAAAGTTATGTTTGTAAATAAATATATTATAATTTTGAATTATACTACTAAAGCTACATTGTATAGCAATTTAAAACACATTGCTAATTTCTCTAGATAAATAATATTCCAACTTAATTGTGGTATCAATCTTCAAAAAAATTAACGCATCATTTAAAGACGATAAAAGCTGTTACGGCCAATACGCCTTATTTTAACAAAGAGAAAAATAAAATCTGAACAAAACAATCTACCGTGAGAGACAGCAACAGAGATAGAGAGTAAACCAGCTGTTTTATTTTCAGAAAAAATCGAGGTAACCCTGGTCTTTGGTGTTGTATATGCAGTCCGTGATGAAAACGAGAATTCCGAGGTTGGTTGGCATCTTCCTGTACGCACAAATGACTACGGCATTGTCTGTTAGTCATCTAAATAATAATGTGTGTTATGGTGAAAAATATAAATGAACGGAGACGTTTGTTTTACATTTCTATTGATAGAGCGTAGGATAATTTATTGCCTTATTAATTTTATAGTTTAAATTACGACATGACTTTTAAATACTTATAAGTTATCAGATAGTTCTTGTAGAAAAATACGAATTATGTTTGCATTTAGTTGAAACCTTTTTTCGCAACACCTGTTGAATTTTTACTAGAATTCATAACATTAATATTTAGAACTTTTAGCTCCTAAAAACGATCATACATTTATTTTAGTAGTGTGTGATTAAGACCGAATGCACGAATTTAATCAAGAAATCGAATTATTAAATTTAATTTTGCAACGTGTAGCAATGCACCATCATTTCTACTCCGTGCATACCAGTACAATGTGTACCCTGGTGGAAATTTGGTACGTATTAAGCAGAACAATACTAAAAGTGTTATATAATTTTACAGCAAATATTACCTTGTTTTCTTGGCGCATAACTGACCTAAAGGTCACATATTTATTGATTATAAATTTAAAATACTCATTGACATTTGTAATAGGCCTACTTGGGCTTGCTCCATTTATACAACATTGTGCGCTATTATCATTCAGTTTATTTAGTATGTAAATATTTAGATGTGTTCAATAATTAGGGAGTATATATTTTAAAGTAATTAAATATAAATTTAATATAACATTAAAAAATGACACTGAAAAGCAAAATGTAATTTTACTAAATAAAAAAACATAAAAAAGACATACTTTAAACTCTAAAAATGTAACTATTAGTATTATACCAACTTAAATTTATTACAAAACGTGTATAGGTATTTAACTACTAAAATATGTTTAATACTATTTGCATTACAATAGATAGCTATATGCATATTATATATATATATATATATATATATATATATATATATATATATATATATACATATATTAAACGCATAAAACATTATTTTGTATATTTGGTAAAAAATAAAAATGTAAATGCATTATTATTTTTCTAGTAATAATTCTTTTGAAACAGAGGAGTTGTTTCACAAAACTCTTTGAAATTGATTTTGCGAGTTAAACATTTGTGACGATATCATAACATATAAAAGCCCATGGGCGCACTTTTATTCTCTGTCCGTTACGTATTTTCCGAGGCTAAGAGATCAGTATCATCAGCAATATATGGAGAACTTGGAGTTTTGATGAAAATGATAGGTTGGGTGTATTAACAGTATAGTGGGACGGCATGGCCTAGCGTATTGGGCTCGAACAGGAAATGATGATAATTAAATGTATATATAAATTTTATTTAAAAACGGGAAAAACTGAAGTTAAAGCGGTAGAGCGCTGGACTGCTAACCCGAATCCGTGTACCGAACTTACGTTAAGGAAACACAAAGGCTGTTTGTTATAGTTCTGACTACACTATTCCTGAAACAAATAGACATAATGATTAATCCGCCTCATGTCTCTTAGGAACAAACGGAAAAAAATATGCTGATGTAAATACATTAAAAAAAACTATACATATTACACGCAATTACATACATTGGCCATCTGAGATGTCTACACGTGTAGATTGGTGAGTAGACGCAACATACATAACAGCATCATCAATATCATCGGACATTGTTGAGCTATAACCGAGTAGACCTTTAGTCGTCTGACAATTCTTAGCACGTATTCTATATTCCCTGTCCAACAATCACAAATCGTTTATCCCGTATCCCTTAATCCCTTATCCTATCTCCTATTTTCTAATCATCATCCCTCTTGCTTTGCCCAATATACACTATCCTATATCCCAGATGCTATTTCTCCATGCCTCATGTCTTATGTTCCATGTTCCGTTTTAACTATACCATTTTATTTTTCATTATCATTAATTTCATACATTTCTTGTGTATGTTCTCATCAATACCTTATATTTAACAAACTTTCTTAAACCATGTGTTCTGTTAATAAAATACAGCAGTATAATTTAGCTCTTTCACAAAGTTTCCGACGTTTAAAATCTGAAAAAAAATCTCAAGGACATCTTTTTCATTGTTTTTTTAATTTGTATTTTAGTTATTTTGTGAAGTTGGCGAAGTAATTAAGTACCCTGCCTAATTAAGTCCCCTGCCTGTACCCGTACAATACTTTTTCTTCAATGACCAGGTATAATTCAAAATTAGAATTACGCTTACCTCATCGAACCTATCGACTACATCAAATACGCATAAAGCATGCAATTTTGTTTTAAATTCAGATTTTTATTTGAAGAGTTTTCTAATTGGTAATAACGTACGGGGACGACATGAAAGTATTAAAACCGTTTTGGAAACTGGCTGTTTTTTACGACAGCCTTCCCAATTAACTATTAATTTGGTTCGACTAAAACATCATTCATCTTCAAATGTTGTCATGTACAGCAATAGTGGAAGTAGACAATTTTGGAGCCCGTTATATTGTTGTGGTATTAAGCGTGGCGACCCAGATTCCCATGCAAGCAGTATGCGCCTACGTTCGTTTTAAAGAGTGCGATCCCTTATGGGAACGGTGGGCTACTAGGACTCTATTAATTTTAGAAAATTGCTTAAAAAAGCAAAAATGTGTTATACTTGCACTGATTGTTAATCTTAAAGTATTCTGAACTGAAACACAGCGTCGCTCAAGTTAAACTAGAAAGTCTAGGTTGAACCTTTTAAAATACACTACTGATGTTTTTATCACTTTTTAAAATGATAGCAAGTTACTTTTTATATAGAAACACTGTCATTTTTGAATATTCTTTTTTTTTGTTGGAATATTGAGTATTTAGCGATGATATTAAATTGTGTAACATACCTATTGAAATATGTTAAAAAATTATTCAACATGATAAAATACAATCAACACAAGAAAAAAAGTTTTGCTAAATCACAAAAATAAGCGACTTGGCATCTCGAATTCAACAACTAAATTATACTTTTTAATTTTAATTAATTTTTTATTGAATCATCTGTAGAGCAGCACAGACTAATATTTGACGGTCCGTGTTACAGAATAATAAAAATATAGGTGTACAAAAAATAGCGTCTATCTGCTGTATAAACGGTGGGTAAAACATAAAATAAACGAAAAGAACACACTATGTAGTATGTTTCAAACTCGATGGTTTATTTTGATCACAAACTTTTATATATAGTGGCAGACTACTTCACTAAGCTCCGGAGTCCTCACCATCTCCCTAAAAATATTAATTATATAATTAATTAAGAAGATTTACGAGAAACAAACACATTCACATATCTGGGAAGCGTGATCAATAAGGACGGGGGAGCAGACGAGGACATAAAATGCCGTATCAACAAGGCTAGATGTGCCTTCAACTCACTGCGCCCGATGTGGAGGTCCACGGCCCTGTCACTCCGGAGCAAAATTGGGATTTTCAACACAAATGTTAAGGCTGTGCTACTCTATGGCTCGGAGACCTGGAGGGTTACGAAGACAAATACTGATAGGCTACAGGCGTTCGTAAACAAATGCCTACGACATATACTCAAAATAAGATGGCCAGACAAAATATCAAACAAAGATCTGTGGCAAATTTTAAAGCAACAGCCAATAGAGAAAGATATTAAGGCCCGAAAATGGAGATGGATTGGACACACGTTAAGAAAAGAAAAGAAAACATAGCAAAACATGCATTGGACTGGAATCCCCAGGGGAAAAGGAGGGTGGGCCGGCCAAAGAAAACATGTAAGAGAACGGATGAGGAAGAGGCAAAAACAGCTGGGCTCTCATGGGCACAGATTAGAGGAGCAGCCCAAAACCGAGTCCGCTGGAGATGTGTGGTTGCAGCTCTTTGCTCCCCAGGGACCATAAAGGAGTGATGATGATGAATTAATCAATTTAAAATAAATTATATAAATAAATAATTAAAAATTAAAAATAAAGAATATATATATATATATATATATATATATATATATATATATATATATATATATATATATATATATATATATATATATATATGCCTATATTTGTAAGAAAAATAAATAATTATATTCATCAGCTCTTACGCTTTTATCGATTACATGTCTTGTTGTAAATATATTTTGCCTAAAACCTTTAACTGACCGGTTATTCAGTACACGCTGCATCTTTGGACAGACTCTTGTACATCCGCGCAACACTGGACTGCCCGCAGATCTGAGACACAGCATCGGAAAAGCAGCTGATCTTTTCTTCTAGTCTTCTGTTCATGATAGTAAAAAGATTAAAAGATTAAGGATTTTATAATTAACCGTTTCAAAAAAAAATTAAATATTTTAATTAAATGCAGGCTAGCAATGATATTTTAATTACGGTTGAGAGTCGTAAAATTACCATAACTAAGAAGTGTATAGCGATTTTGATATAATTATTTAAAAGTCATTAGTACAGTGACAAAACAAAATGCAATCTAAGTTTTCATTTGAGATGTTATGAATACATAATAGTATTAAAATTCCATATCTTCAGTAGTTAAATTGGTGGAAAAGGATAATTCACCCTAATATTACATTTTAAAGTTAAATATGCGTTGGAAATACCATACAATGTAAGATTCTACCTCTGGTTGTCTAATTAAACTTCATGATTCAAATTTGTCTAGAAACTTTATTAAATAATTATGTTTTATTACTGTAATAAACAATGTAGTGGAATCTGAAAAGATCAACTTGATTGTGTTGATGTCTAAACATAGCTTGTGCAATCAGATGTAAATTATTCACCACCTACTAAATAAACTGTAACTGAATGCTTTGGTATTATTATTTTATTAAAGTTTGAGGATTTTTGTACAAGTTGAATAATGTACAAAAGTAATTTAAACTTAGTGAATAATTTCATGCGATTATTCCAACAACGTTTCTCTGACATGAAATACGCCGATGAAAAAAAAAATCCCTTGAATCATCATTTAATTACACATTTGCATTTTCAGGTTTTTTTTTTGTAATTAGACGTTTTGTATTAGATATATGTATAGGTAAACCATCTTAAATGAATGAAAGTAGAAAACATAGAAAGAAAGAAGTGTTACTATTGTAAATCTGTATCAGTCCTCACAAGCCGATGATGAAAACTGTAATACTAAAGCGAACATGCAAGGCAATCTGACGCAGTAAATTACATGTGTGACGCAAAAAAAAAACAGTAAAAAAGAAAAAAAAGGAAAATAAATACATAACAGCCAATAACCAATTAATTAATCAATCAAATCTGAAATGTTTTTTGAAAACCTAAGCAAGGCTAGGCAGCATGCCTAATACTTATATAACACTACCGGGGGTGGCAACTCGGAACATAGACATGATGTTTAATACATTTTCAATAACTTAAACTTTTAAAAATAAAATAGAATCTCGTTGAAAAAAGAATTGCGCACCAAGTGAACAGCAAACAATGTCTGCATAATTGTGCAGAAAATTAGATCTTTTACTTACATATAAAATTTAGTTTAACTATCCAAAACAGTACTCAAGTTTTTGAAAAACCAAACGTATAATAAGTTCCACTTTATATTACTGGAAATCGCTATTATACTAATATATGAAATTTTAATAACCTAGCTGTAACGGTGCTCAAGTTATCGTGTTCACAGACAGACTTACATACACACACAGACAGACACACGGACAAAGTTGCTAAACTTTTCCGATTCACGGAGGTGTTAAACGTCGAGATTTGCGAAAATCTCGATTTCGAGTTTTCGCAAGATTACAATACTTTCTCAATGCTTCGTGTACGAGAAAGTAAAAAGACTAGCAGAAAGAAAAAAAGTTACTCGCAATTTTCTCCTGGTTCAATTGTGTAAAAGTTTCGGAAACATTCGACGAACTTTTGTTTCAGTTTTCGTCGTCTGGTTAAGGAACTAACACATTCAGAGTCCCGAAGTTCTTCCAAAGCTGAATACAGAAACAATTATCAAATTCATCTCAGTAGACAAATCGGTTAAACTTTTTTACGAATTGATTTGTTATGTTTTTAAATTGAATCAAATATTAAAATCTAACGATAATGTACACCACACATAACTAAAACAATATATATATATATATATATATATATATATATATATATATATATATATATATATATATATATATATATATATATATATATATATATATATATATATATATATATATATATATATATATATATATATATATATATATATATATATCATCAAGTTATTGTTAGATGATAAACAGGCTTTTCTTTTAAAATATTACTACTTTACACTTATCTGTCAAAATTCGAAGAATTTACGAACCATATTTTCCATCCATGTTACATATTACTCTTCTGTAGTTAAGACTTTCTGCCAAACGCATTCGAAGTTCATCATTCAAGCAATCCTCTGTTTTGTGGACATAACATTCTGCAAACCTGTCCAACTGTCTGTAAGTAAATGTACGGAGCCAGTGTTAGTTTACATGCATTTAAGTCAGTGAAGGGCTTGGCGGAGCGTTAGGAAGCTCTGTTGTGAACCAAAAGGTCACGAATGTATAGGTCTTCCCATGAATCCTACTGTTGTGAACAAAATGGTCACGAATGTCAAGGTCGTCCCATGAATCCTACTGCCTCTCGTTTACACAATAGGCGCTGCACCAGTAGACGTCAAAGGATAAAAATAATCCTAACGTCAAGCTACTGGAAAAATCGGTGCTAAAAATAAGTATTTCTGTACGAATACATATATATATATATATATATATATATATATATATATATATATATATATATATATATATATATATATATATATATATATATATATATATATATGTTCTAAATATTAAATTTAGAAATATTATTAATATACTAAATAAATCAGTGTAGATAACAGGACGTCGAAAGTATGTCTAATAACTTAATTAGAAGAAAAATTATAAACACAACTTACTCGCAAATTCGTTCCAGATCAGCTTTGTCAAGGAAATCACAAGTTTCATTTTTATCCAGAAAATCAGGAAATTCAAAGCATTCCGAAAGTTGTTCGCAAGATCCAGTGCAGTCTGAGTTTAGTATAAAATTAGAAAAATAGCTTGTCTTATTTAAAAATGTATTCAAATAGGTATGATATAATCGTAATAGTAAAAATAATGTTGAGAGTGTTCACTATTTGTATGTAACATCAGAACAACTCTTTAACAATCACATTTTGTGTGTGGTGTTTTGACCCCTCCAAAACAATATCATTCAATTTGTGATATCCTAGCTTAACCCAACCTCTCCAACAGTTCTGTGGTATGTTGACTTCCCTCAAGGATCTCTACCTACCAAAAAAGAATTTAATTTCACAAAATGACGTTTAAGAACAATCATTGGCAAACTCACCGTTAGCAAAAGATAAAAACAACACACACAGTAGTAGCAATATTGACATGATGGGCGATACAATTTGACTTAATGGATGGTTCTCAGTTGTTGTATGTTGGACGACACCTGGTAACACAAGGCTTGTTTTCTGATAGTTTATGATGGATGACACCTACAGACACACTGCTGGTTCTCTGTTGTTTTATGATGGACGACACCTACTAATAGAATGCTGGTGTCCATATGGTTTAAGCTTGCAGAACCATGCTTTTATTTATCTTCATGATAGCCCGATAACGTCATGATATAAGTTGCTTGCATTTTTCTAGTGAAAAGTAAGACAACTGATGCGTTTGTCATTTCGCACTTGTATAATTTTAGCGATTATTCTAGGCCTATTACAGCATCAATTGTACGCTTCTATGTGCTCACGTTCAGCTGATATCAATCATTCATAACACAAGCACATGTTGTTTTATGTATGGCAGTCACTTCACTAGCAATGTCATTTCTTTATAATTTTACGATTGTCTTTAATTTGTTTGCATGATTACTGATATCTTCATGATAAATCAAATTTTGATTTCGAACTTTTAACTAGCTAATTAACATTTAAATTTGTTTTTATATATTGGGATATCGTAAGGTAAAATCTCACATGAATAAAAATTCATATTCATTCTACAATGTTTTTTTTTTAATTACAAATGCCACATTTGTTAAACAGAAGATATACAGAAAAAGGTAAAGATAATTCGCTTACACATTGAAAAATAGAGAACTCGATGTACAGTTTAACGCTGTTGATGCGTATACAAGAAGCAGCTTAACACTTTGTAAAAATACTCTTAGCACCGAATAGTTTTATTAACAACCAGATATTAAACCGATTTAACGAGATGTATTGAATAAAAAAAATTGATGTAACTAAACACGTGACAGGTGTTCAGGCGTGTAGAAATACGGAACTGATACGTACGCGACCGATGTAATAGAGACAAGTGTTAACGAGGACGTGATTGGGATAGACGGGTGACATTTCTACAATTCTACATATGCCTGGTCGTACAGCACGTTATGACGTGGACTGGACGTGTAAGGGCACGGTAAGTGGACACATCATACGTCACAAAACTGCCAGAATAACTGGGTGTTAGACACAGTTCTGACCTGATAGAGTCTAAGTCAGTTGACACATTATACGCTACAATATAGAATAAGTAACATGACATTTTAGACTCTTGAAGATATTTCAGTAGACAAAGTCTTCAATAGCTAAAGGGGAGATAACACGATTAGGTAGCAGCTATTGATCGCTGGTGAACTGATTGGTCATGATTGATTTTGTCTCCAATGAAGTAATCGTTTTATTGATTTAGTGTTTAAAAATTCACAACTCCCTTGTTGCTTGTCCTTTGTCAATCACCTCTCATCCATTATTTCACATCACCAATTTCTTGGCCATTTTCTCTTATCCCTTATACATTATCCCTGATACATTATCCCTGATACATTATCCCTTATACATTATCCCGGATACATTATCCCTGATTCTTTATACCTGTCCCTAAACTCTGAACCCTTATCCCTGGTCCCTTATCTCTGACCCTTAACCTTTTTACCTTTTACTCTTATCTCTTTTTTCTTATCTCTAATCCCTCATTCTTAACAGCCAACCTACCCAAGCGGGGTATAATACAGTGATCTTACCCAGCATGTCAACCTGTTCAGGTAAAGTACGATCCACACACGGAACACTGAACGCTCTGCTGATTTTGATTATCTTGTCACACCCTCTATTGTCACACTCCATGTCACACCCTCTATTGTCATACTCCATGGCACACCCTCTATTGTCATACTCTATACATGTAAGTGACGAAATTCAATGTTACGGATACTCTCATAGCAAACAAGTAAATTAAATTTTGTATCGCACAATTTACTGAAACAGTGCTGTCTAATGTATTGATTAATGAGTTATTTATCAAGGTAACTTATCAGACCTCATTCACAATCCCACCTCATCATTGCGGACCACGATGTTTCCATTTAGATGAAGTTTACTCATATTCTATAAAAAACTAAACATTCTATACATACGCACACGGATACATAATACAGCACTCGGTTAAATATATACACCCATACAAACACATACATACATACTTTTGTGTTTACTAAGTGTCGGGCTCAATATCCTCTCTAAGAACACATACGAACATACTTCCAATAACATATCAAGTCATATATCAAGTCATATATACATCACGCTAGAAAAAAATCAAAGCCATATATTTTAAACAACAACTGCACGTCATATCGAAACAAGGAAACCCAGCTATACAGATAAGACTTTTCAAAGTACAAAACACGCTACGTTTTGTTTTTGAAGTCTACCAACACATTGCGAAACATAGGCCTATGTATTACAATTTTATTCTATTCACATTTGTACACACCTAGTACGGTAGTTTATTCAACATCTAGATGTTTACATGTAGGATTGTCCAAGTCGTATTGTGTTTACAAGTAATCAAGAGTGAAGCTGCCTGGGCTTTAGAGGATTTAACTATTTTTTTTCTGGTATTAAATTATGTATATACGCACAACACATCAATAGTGTTTGTCTATTGAACAAGCTATGGGAGATTTGAAAAGTGCTATTTGTTACTGTGTCGACTTCCTTCTGCACTGTTAAGAGAACTGTTTGCTATTGAAACAAGAAGTTATTCATCAATTACAAAATAAGCTAAAAGGAAAGGTAAGTCTGACTTTAAATTATATTATGTTTTATGAATTACTCGAGAGGTTAATACCACAAGACCTCTCATGTTTTCCTGTTTGGATGGGTGAAAACTGTCACGAGATTTGCAGAAGCTCTAGTTTATTCACTTGAAATAGCCAGTTGAATGTATTCATGCTGCTCAGACTCACTTTCAACCATACGCCATATTTGCAAGCAACGTTTTTAATAAACTCTATATAAATTCCTCATCAACGTTAACTTATATAATATATACTTGCTTGAAAACAGTATTAATCTTATCTATGACATTACATAGATATGTTATACAGACACTAAAGTCCTTTGTAGGTCTATGTGTGTCGTTAATTCTATAAATACCACAGTCATGTGATTTTGCAACATTTAATATGCTGACTTTCAAGTCTCTTATATACAGACCAGTTGTGTTGCGTAAACCACTGAGACCATACGATACTTAATATGTGCATGCAGCTAATCAACACGTTTCCCCCATACATAAATACTGCCATGTCAGAGATAGGATCGGCCATGTATTTTTAATAATGTGTATATCACAACCACCATCTCTCAACATCATGAGGTTCGAGGCATCAATAATTGAGCGTCGTGTTACCCTGTCTCAAGCTATAAGCACTGCTATTTGGAATGTTAAGCCTCACCCCTTCAACCCTTTCTCCGTTGATCTTGTATTATTTAGCCTCCCTCGTTTCCTCATTGTCACACTTTAAAAAAATCTATAAACTACCGGAGTTGTTGATGTAATGCGCGGGTGGTGCAGTGCCTTTTTCTCTAGAACCTGACCCAGCAAACACCCTTATATTTCCCTTTTGGTTATATTTTGTGTACAAGTGTACTCATACTTGTATTAAAACAAGATGTTTGGTTTTATTTTCAGCATGTCTCATGGACTTTGGTTGAGATTCATATGTATTTTATTGTTTATCAATGTAACGCTATCGTCGTATTGTGATGACGGTCCATGTGGACCGGGGCAGTTCTTGGCTGACCAGTCCAGAGGCGTGTGTCAGAGATGCCCATACCAGCACTACATGGACCTGTCTAATCACGGCTGCCTCGCCTGCTTCAAATGTAAAACAGCGGACGTCCAGGAAATCGAGGTTGTCGACAGAGAGTGCAGCCCGGTGTCTGACGCTGTGATCGTGTGCAAGCCTGGCTACTTTATGTCTAGAGGCGCGGACCCACGAGAACACGGGATCTGTAGAAGTTGCTCTCCGTGTGGAGGCACGCAGTGGGTGGTGCGAGAATGTCAAGGTGACCAGGACACTGAGTGCTGCTCAGGTGAGAGAATGGAGACCAGTCCTGGAGTTTTTACCTGTGCTCCGGTGTTGAATGTACCTGAACCACCAGTAGGTATGTCACTGTTTACATAGTTGCGTTAAGCATATGTTTATGACACGGTTGAGCTGTTTACATGGCTATATATAAATAAACAAATAAATTTTTTTTTAAATGTTAAAAATGTAAACAATTATATATATATATATATATATATATATATATATATATATATATATATATATATATATATATATATATATATATATATATATATGTGTATATATATATATATATATATATATATATATATATATATATATATATATATATATATATATATATATATATGCCTATATATCAACTTCAAGTAACTAAACTGACACTTACGTTTGTGAAACGTATTAGTGAAACTGAATGAATCGTGTTACGTCTTATTTAGAACATATTAAAATCTTGTTGATGTAAATGTTTAACTTTTAGAAGAGTTAGATATACAAAATATCTATCTTCTAGACATCTAGAAGTTCTTTTAGGCTAATTTAAAATAAATAGACAAAACCAAAACGAATTTTTTTTTACTTTAGAGTCCTAAAGGTTTAAAGGGATGAGGGTTGAGTTGAAAGTTGAGGGTCGAGGATCAAGGGTCGAGGGACGAGGGATGAGGGAATAGGGATGAGGGACAAGGGACAAGGGACAAGGGACAAGGGACAAGGGACAAGGGACAAGGGATAGGGGATAGGGGATAGGGCTTAGGGGATAAGGGGTAAGGGATAAGGGATAAGGGAGTGTACAGTTATAATAAATTTTACCCTGAACTTTTTTTTTTACACTTTTTTTCAGTTGTTGAAACCCATTCTCAGATGAAAGATGCCAGTGATGTTAAGTTAATAGATACTGTCAAGGAAAGATGTGTGCCTCTAGCGATGACCTTTGTTTTCTTTTTAATACTGCCAGGCTTTTTACTTTACTTCGTACTCTCTAATTATAATCGTTAATTTAAATATTTCCTTCATGATACAGCACAGAGGATAATACGGATCATTCCCTGTTATCACAAAGTTTTAAAAGTTGATTCTAACTCTTAGTAAACATGAGTGATGTAAACATCACATTTTGAAGCTAAAATCTTTTTAAAAA